ATATCACAGCTCTTCTGTATGCTTATAATAAAACCAACATGATCAGAGTCTTCACAACTTTCTAAACCAGTGATATCATATTTTCTCTTTACAATAATAAAATAAGTTTACAAAAAGAAGCACTATAAAAAGATGTTACTTATTTCTCACGTTTTTTATTAAGATATTTCTTATTTCTCAAAAAAAAGAAATATCTCAAAATTGTAGAGTATGCCATGCAACAGCAAACATCAGATTCAATGTTTTCAATGAAACCAAAAGAGTCCAGCATCCTTATAGTTTTGCCAATTCCAAAAAATATAATAAATATATTGATAAATCTTGTTTGACTTTTACAACTAAATGTTTTTTTTTAACCATAGAAATGATCAAAATGACACCTCTGATAACACAATCTTGTCACAATAGTGACAGAATTGACAATTGAGAATCAGTATGATCTGGCCCTTCATTGGGTGCAAAATTAGGAAATATACATCCTGATGAAGCCAAACTTTATGATCACTGATAGTCATAGTTTATAAAATCCAGTTTTTCATTTCAAAAAGTTTTATCACACAAAATTGCACAAAAGGATAAGACAATAGGCAAAGCCTTTATTATTCTTAAGCCAGTGTTATAAATTATTCAATCTGATGAAATAAAAAAAAAAGATATACCACTTTTAACTTCTATAATTCTAAATGGAAGCATTTGAAAAAGGGGAGGTAATTCAATATACCATCGCTGATGTATACCGTGAACAGTGAAAGGAAAAACAGCAGAAAAACAAACGTATAAACTATCACATTACAAAGAAAATCAAATACTTGATAACATTTATCATCAATAATCCTGTATCAAACATAACAATTCTCAGTAATACTGATTGTTTTTCTATATTCGATGATTTTAAGTTCTACTATATACATGATTTTACATTAACATTGAGCACTAATCATCACAGTATGACTACCATATTCACTTTCTGTATATATATATCACTACTAGACAACAAGCAGCAGTACTGAATATCAGTAATCAATCATGGTGTGCTCCTTCATATCCTTTGGAACACACAAAATATTTCATAAGAAAGCTTTGAAAGATATACCACATTTACCTGGCAACAAGCACATACAATGTGACTCATAAAAAAACCTATTAAAATCTCTTTCAGTTTCAATGAATATGTAATTTTATTTTCCTGTGAAAAAAATATGTCTCCTGATGTTTGGTACAAGATCATAAGTTTGCCCCTCGTGCTTATTACCAGATAAATGTGGTATATCGTTGACAAACGTAACCAAGTGAAGGCAGAAAATGTGTAGGAGCAATGTAATCTCTGTCTATAACAAGGTAAAACATTTTAAAACACCAAGTCATCACAAAACATTTCCTTAGTATTTTTAATTTCCTACTCTAAAGTACTTCTACAAGTATCACCAATTAGAATGACTCTCCTGGAACACTACAAATGGCTATTGAACACCTATTTATACAATTTGAGCAAACTATTCGTCATCTACACTGTTTGTAGGATTAACTCTCTTACATAAGAATCTAATCAAATTATATATTGAATTCAGACTGTGAACAATGACACTTTCTATTATGGACTGAGTTCAGGACAAAATTAACATAACTATTAATGTGAGCAATGCTTAAATTTATCTAAATTAATATCTGAGGTATGAATTTTCCTTCATGATTAACTGATGACGTGGTATAATCAAAGCAAAAATACTCTCACTTGGTACATTTCTCAATAAAAGTAATTTATAAACGTATATCAATGTAATTCATAAAGGTGTTTTTATAAATAATTCATACAGGTATCGATCTTTAAGACCAAAAGGAGAATCTAAGTCACATTAACAGCAGTGGTATTTAAACCAAATCTTTATGACAAACAATCTTCTGCTCAATACCGAGATGATTCAGTCTTTCATGACAGTAAGCGAGCAAGCAATTATTTCTGTAGATGACTAAAATAAAGATAACATATGTTCATTATGATATCACAAACATGTTTAAGTTACAGAACACAGTTCTACTTTGTACAAAGTAAATATGACTGCTGTCAAAAAAATATATATTTTAAAATATAATAATACTAGATAAATAATCTACAATATAGAATTCACATTTCAAACTTTGCCATGGTAAAGCATGGTAGGAAATTATCATACTTCCTCCACATATATATGTCCGATTTATGTACTAGATAATCTAATTAAGTAAGGGACAGTATAGGAAATCTACACTTGTCAGAGGTATCATGTACCAGGAAATAAACTGTCTTGAAAGGAAGGAAGGTAATTATCACATTATTGTATAAAATATATCTTATGAATTATAAACAATCCACATGACAACAAACAAAGGTCTCATTATGTCATTTTTGATTACAATATACATCTTCAAAAACTTTACAGAATAAGAAATCTAATGCCTTATATTTCCTTGTTATATCAATCCAAATTTGGTAATTATCTTGATAACGACATACCTGGTAAAGATTTCTGATATATGAATAAATATTACTTTTCACTATAAATTTTCATGTATTAAAGCTTATGACTAGATTTATTTAGATTTCAATAAATATTGATATAGAAAGATAAATAACAGTCAATTGCCTTCAAACATTACTGGATATATCAGAATTGGGTTTGAAGTATCAATAGTTTGTAAAAATAATCTGCGATGAACTCCAAGTCATCATATTTTTCAAGACCTTTGATCCTCAAGGGCTAAAACTTGATCTCCTTGAGAAATATGCTACCACTGAGGTTGGGAACAGAAAAAACAGTTTAATATTTTTTGGCCAGCATGTTATAATTGCACTTTATATACAAAATATAGATAAATTATTCACAGTGGTTTTAGAGATGTGTTATTAAAAATTTGTTTATCTTCATCCATTTACTTATGTATAAAGGCTTTTGTTTACAATGAGTTATACAAATTATGCCCAATTGTCTGGTTTTCCAATGGCAATAATTAAAAAAAAAAAGAACAGGGAAAGGTATTCCTGTTCCACTGTTTTGATGTATTGCCTTACAAAATATATATCGTTTTTACACAAATCTTGACAGCCAAAATATATTGATAAACTAGGAATAAAATTAAACAAATTATCAACAATAGTCAGAAACTATGATTTCTTTTTCCTTTTTACTCTACAATTGAAAATAATGAAAGTTGATCAACAAAAAATCCTACCTGCTGTCAAAATTTACTCACCTATATATAATAATACCTGGTAAGACAAAACTGTAGAAAGAAACCTCTGATGACTTCCACACATGTTCATATAATTAAGTACATTGTAGTACATTTTAATTGACAGAATGATGATAATGTTATGCTACTCCATCATCAAATTATATACTTGTTCTTAAGACTATATTCCAAAAATCTCTGACCTGATAAAATATGATAGACAGCTATTAGAATGAAATCACCTGTCAGTAGAAGTTAAAGGTAACACCTCGGAATTTCTGTTTGAACTGCTGTCCTCCCTCACCCTTACAAAAATCCATCAATTACTGATCTGCATTATCATAAATTACTCCCTTGGGAAAAAGGAGACATACAGTGCAATAGCGATTTATGAACACTTTAATATGTAGAGTAGATAAACAGCACTTATATATAGAGTTACCAGTTATACAGCATCATCTAGACCATAGACACTATCACAAATATCACTGCCAAGCCTAACCCCTACTGCCAACCTCCTACTGGTGAGCCTCCTACTGTCTAGCCCCCTATTGCAAAGTCTAACTCTTACTGCCCTGCTTCCTACTAGTGAGCCTTGCTCTTACTGGTGAGCCTCCTACTGTCTAAAGCCTACTCTCAAGCCTAACTCCTATTGTTGAGCCCTCCTCCTACTGGTGAGCTTCCTACTGCCAAGCCTTCTACTGCTGAGCATAGCTCCAACTGCCAAGCCTCTTAATAAGCCTTATCTCAGCAGTGGAGATCATATAAGTGGAATCAAACTGCTTCCAGCATTCTTTCTATATTTCAAATAACTGGAAAATACATAAATAAATGTTGTGTTTATAAAAAATGTGATATATTACCTATAAAAAAATCTACCATCTATTGACCCTGTTTTCCACAAATACATGTATCTAAAAAAATTCAAAATTTTCATTTAAGCTTCTCACATGAGCCTTACACAAGACCTTCTCTTGTGACCAGAACAAGCACCCGTCATACACACCTTTCATACTTGACTTTAACATGTGGATTTATGGCTTTCACACTCTTAAGATATGACACAAAATGGTGACTGAGATCAAAGAGATAATACAATATATCATTTCCCATATATAGGGTTCATGTTACTACATGTGTATGTTTTTACCCAATACCTGACATATATTCAAGTGTATTTGGCATTCATGTACACATATTTATGAGTGTATGTTGTGTGGTATACTTTGCACTTCCATATACATACATGTACTTTCTTCAGTTTTCTGTCACAATGATCAGACATTTAACAGACATTTCCAATTCTTATCCAACTTTTCACACCTCTTCAATTTTAAAAGTATCAATTGAAGGACAGGTAGATTGACAACACGTGCAATGATCCTTCATGCTGACAGTAAATGTGAGGATTATCAATACTGACAGTAGATACCAGGGTTCCTGATACTGACAGTAGATACCAGGATCCTTGATACTGACAGTAGATACCAGGATTCCTGATACTGACAGTAGATGCCAGGATCCTTGATACTGACAGTAGATACCAGGACTCCTGATACTGACAGTAGATACCAGGATTCCTGATACTGACAGTAGATACCAGGGTTCCTGATACTGACAGTAAATGCTAGAATCCCTGATACTGACAGTAGATACCAGGACTCCTGATACTGACAGTAGATACCAGGGTTCCTGATACTGACAGTAGATACCAGGATTCCTGATACTGACAGTAGATACCAGGGTTCCTGATACTGACAGTAAATGCTAGAATCCCTGATACGATAGTTGTATCACATTTCTACTTTAACAACCCCGTTGACTTCCCTGATCTTGTCACTGTTTCTGATACTGGTGCAACCATATAAGTGTAGCAATTTCAACCTGAAAGTTTAAGAGAAAAATGGTGAGAAATATTTACTTCTTAATGTGAAATTTCTTATACTACTTAGAAATTTCTAATTTATAAAAAAACACATTCTTAAATAAACAAAACACTCCATGTAGAGAGTATTTTCTCATAGATTTTCTTTCTTAATTTACAAATTGAATTATTCTTCACTGAATCCTTTGATAATTAGGTTCACACTGTTACTAATATTTATCAATACAATCTAGATTTCTCTTTCATTAAACAAAATAGTGTCAACTCTATGACTTCCCATTATTAGTAATGGTGACCTTCACTTCAATCTTGGAATCCTGAAACCTATCCAAGGTATTCTCATACCTGACCTATGTATTAACATTTACGGCATCTATATTTCATAATTGTAAGATGTGACAGGACAGTATCATTACATATCCACTACAAAGTGATAGGTGAAACTCAGGGTCGCTTGCCAAACATCACTTATTACAATTTTATAAATGCAGTATTTTAAAGCCATGTAAATGTTGTTATTCATGCTTATTTGCTATATGTGACTTACTTTCGACAGTGTTTGGCCAGTTTGATGATCACAGGGTCTGTTATATCTGACAGGAAGTTTAACTTGACTGTCTCGAGTCGTTGATTACAGAAGTTTGCCAACATGGATACACTGTAGAGAGACAAGAGAGACTAATTAAAGAGAGTGTCAGAACAAAGAAGTACTAACATTATATAAGCAGAAATTACCACCGACTTGTACACAATAGTATTCAGAATTGCAGTGATATCACACTACAGTTTGTTTTTTCTCCTTTACCTGCGGTGTGAACAGCCTGTGGAACTGATGTCAATATTACGAAGATTTTGACAGTTGTTAGCTAAGGCTCTGATACTGTTGTCTGTGACATTCCTGCATCCACATACATCTATAGTTCTGCAACAAGACACTGTATATCAGACAACAATCTATGAAAGGCAAGTCTCCTAGTGCAATCTACTGATAATACTGAAAAAGCTATAGATCTCAGTTATATGAGTTTATCAGGAAAGCAGATCTAGTGTCTGGTAGTGTTGTGGAAGATCATGAAACATTAAGCAAGTCTTAACATTGTATATATGTATGTCACAGAAATGTTTACATGTATATCAAGTCTTCTGTTTAAAAAACCCATAGTTTAACTAAATTGTCATCCTGAGGAAAACTAATATCCCCTGCAAAGACTATACATATCAAGTACTGTGAGTACATAGTGTCATCATAAATATTTCAAGTCAAGAAATTCATAAATATATATATGGTTTATGAATAAAAAACCCCAAGAAATTACTATTCTCAATCTATCACTAACTATATAAAAGACACATATCACTGGAAAAGTTAAAAGAACACTGAAAATTGGGGAAAATTTCATTCTTAGTCAGATACGGGAAGAAACTTGTGTAACATGTTAATTGGTACTGTTCAATGAGTGTGTGAACAAAATTTCAAGTCCATTGGACATTTGTAAAAATGATTATAGCTAAACGCATAAACTAATGCTGGAAAATAGTCTTAAAGAAGCTAAGTCCAGAAACATAGCAACTATGATATATTCTTAATCCTTTTTTAAGGAACTACATCGACATACTCAGCAAAACTTATCACAAAAATCAAAGACGGAAAAACATACACAAAAGAAAATTCACCAAAAGTTCGGTTAACAACGGAAAAAAATCTGTATTCTTTGTTTATGTTAAATGGTGCTGGATGGTGTGAACCAAATTTCTAGTCCACTGGATACTTGGAATATGTTTTTTTCTCAAAATGCATAGCTGGAAAAAACTGTGTTAATTTTTTTTCATAAAACAGGGATAACTCACTGAAATGGGGGAAAATGGAAAGTCCCTCTGAGGGCACATCTCCATATTGTACTGGAAATTCCCACATAATTTTGAAAAGATCCATTACAAACTGCGCTGGGCAGAGTTCATCTACAGAAGGATAGATGGACAAACCAGCTGATTCTAGTACAACTCCTTCCTCTCCCCCTATGTTGTTGCAGGGAAAATAAAAGCTAGAAAATATCTATAAGACATATTATGAATGCCCTGTCACCTATACAAACAGAATCTGATCAGATGTTACAGTAGAATGTGATGTTCTGATATTATTGAGTAAATTTATACCAGAACCTGATCAGAAGTTCTTAATAATAGGACATGGATTCAAAATGGAGAGTGACAGATTGACATAGGTAGCATCATATGCATCCATCATCCCCTGAAATAAAATTTTGACAAGGGAAGATAATTCTACAGCTCAGCCATACCTTATATCTGTGATGTATGTTGATACTTCCAACATGGAGACATCAGTGATGTTGGGACAGTTGGCGAGGGAAATAGTCTGTAGCCGCGGACAGTTCTTCACCACATACCTTATACAGTTGTCCTTTATCTAAAATAAATGAAGATCTAAATTATGTCAAAGCACCACTAATTTCTATTTCAGTTTGATGTCAAGTACATTTACTAATTATTCCAACCAATGATACTTTTCTGATAAACATTGATTAATATGGTTGAACATATATATCTTGGATTACAAGAGATCTGAGGGGGATCTTGGCATCAACCCTCATTTGATCTTCATCTGTTCTTAAAAAGTAGCATTGTTTCTCTTCTTTCTTCTGTGTTAATTATATGAAATTTGAAAATTCCTCTTTCAAAATAGCAATAACAATCTATAACTATAAAATCCAAGATGGTTTCCTGTCAGTCATTTTGTTTTTTCAGATCAGTTCTTAAATAAGAATACATGGAAGCAAGGGGCAACTACGTATGGAATTTGAGATCGATCCATTATGTGTTTCTCAAGGAAAAGACATAATTTTAAAATGATCTTAATATGGACCATGCATAACTATGGACCAAGGTAAACCTGCAAATGAAATTTGGGAATAGTCCATCTGGGGCTTCTCTAGAGATAGTGACAAAGATGGACTGGGGAGAGATAAACAGGTGATTTAATTAGTCCAACATATGGTGGGCTAAAAGCATTGCATTCAATTGTAACAATTGTAAAAGTTTGAAATAGGTGTTGCACAGGAAAACCATGATTGTGCAGTCATATTACAAAAATGGCCTCCCTGGCTGCCGTATTGAAGTTTTGACAAGGTCGAAAACTAACAACACTTTGTTGGCTACCTTTCCTTTACATTCTTATCAATATTTAGTTCAATGGCATCAGTGGAACAAGAGAAGAATTTTAAAGTATGTTTTTCAGATGGCAGCCACCTTGGATTTCAGACATACCCAAAATATAACAACACTTGGTCAGGACCATCTCAGGATCATTTCATACAAGTTGGAGCTCAATCCCACCAGTGGAACTTGAGAAGAAGTTTAAAATGTCAAAAGTTTACGCACAGCAGACAGCGCAAAGCAGATGGCACAGGGTGGACGACAATAGATGAAGTACAATTGCTAAAAATGTCTAAAAGTCGATATGCATACACAATTTAATTACTGGATTCAAGATGTTTATATTTGTACCTGTTTACAGCCACGAAGGTCAAGGTTCTCTACTCGTCCAAGACTAGAAGATAACTGAGATATACAAGAGTCTGTCAACTGAAACATAAAAACACCAGTAATGAAAATTATATCTCAGGTAAAATATAGATACCAGTTAAGACAATTATATCTCAGGTAAAATATAGATACCAGTTAAGACAATTATATCTCAGGTCAAATATAGATACCAGTTAAGACAATTATATCTCAGGTAAAATATAGATACCAGTTAAGACAATTATATCTCAGGTAAAATATACAGACATCAGTAATGAAAATTATATCTCAGATAAAATATAGATACCAGTTAAGACAATTATATCTCAGGTAAAATATACAGACATCAGTAAATAAGCTCTTTTGGCTTAATAAGCCAACAAAATTACTGGCTTAATTCTTTGATTTATTTGTATTCATATTGTAACAGAGGTCATTATTCATTTCAATGTCTCTGCTAGGATTCAAATCTGGGACCTCTGGAGTACTTCTGTAACACTCAACTGATTGAGCTAAAGAGAAGTTCTTTCTTGTCGAGCAGTATATTGCGCCTAGTATTTACATGGGTTACAAAGTATCTAGAATTGTAGAATATGTTACTAGATTCTAATGTGTATGTTGACAGATCAGGTATTTTATGAGCTAGTACTGCCAATATCATAACCTTGTTCTCACCTTATAACATTGTCCTAAGTTTAAGTTCAGCAAGTTCAGACAGTGGGTTGCAAGAAAACGTATACTCTTCGGTGTAATATTAAAACATCCAAACATCTCCAAATGTCGCAAGCTGTGAAACAAAAACAAAAAAATCATTCATCACTGTGGGTTAAGGCTTACCATGCATTGTATCTGTGAGTTAAGGCTTATCATACATTGTATCTGTGAGGGTAAGTTTCCCATACATTGTATCTGTGAGTTAAGGCTTATCATACATTGTATCTATGAGGGTAAGTTTCCCATACATTGTATCTATGAGGGTAAGTTTCCCATACATTGTATCTGTGAGGGTAAGTTTCCCATACATTGTATCTGTGAGGGTAAGTTTCCCATACATTGTATCTGTGAGGGTAAGTTTCCCATACATTGTATCTGTGAGTTAAGGCTTATCATACATTGTATCTATGAGGGTAAGTTTCCCATACATTGTATCTATGAGGGTAAGTTTCCCATACATTGTATCTGTGAGGGTAAGTTTCCCATACATTGTATCTGTGAGGGTAAGTTTCCCATACATTGTATCTGTGAGTTAAGGCTTATCATACATTGTATCTATGAGGGTAAGTTTCCCATACATTGTATCTATGAGGGTAAGTTTCCCATACATTGTATCTGTGAGTTAAGGCTTATCATACATTGTATCTATGAGGGTAAGTTTCCCATACATTGTATCTGTGAGGGTAAGTTTCCCATACATTGTATCTGTGAGTTAAGGCTTATCATACATTGTATCTATGAGGGTAAGTTTCCCATACATTGTATCTGTGAGGGTAAGTTTCCCATACATTGTATCTGTGAGTTAAGGCTTATCATACATTGTATCTATGAGGGTAAGTTTCCCATACATTGTATCTGTGAGGGTAAGTTTCCCATACATTGTATCTGTGAGTTAAGGCTTATCATACATTGTATCTGTGAGGGTAAGTTTCCCGTACATTGTATCTGTGAATTAAGGCTTATCATACATTGTATCTGTGAGGGTAAGTTTCCCATACATTGTATCTGTGAGGGTAAGTTTCCCATACATTGTATCTGTGAGGGTAAGTTTCCCATACATTGTATCTGTGAGTTAAGGCTTATCATACATTGTATCTATGAGGGTAAGTTTCCCATACATTGTATCTGTGAGGGTAAGTTTCCCATACATTGTATCTGTGAGTTAAGGCTTATCATACATTGTATCTGTGAGGGTAAGTTTCCCGTACATTGTATCTGTGAATTAAGGCTTATCATACATTGTATCTGTGAGGGTAAGTTTCCCATACATTGTATCTGTGAGGGTAAGTTTCCCATACATTGTATCTGTGAGTTAAGGCTTATCATACATTGTATCTGTGAGGGTAAGTTTCCCATACATTGTATCTGTGAGGGTAAGTTTCCCATACATTGTATCTGTGAGTTAAGGCTTATCATACATTGTATCTGTGAGGGTAAGTTTCCCATACATTGTATCTGTGAGGGTAAGTTTCCCATACATTGTATCTGTGAGTTAAGGCTTATCATACATTGTATCTGTGAGGGTAAGTTTCCCATACATTGTATCTGTGAGGGTAAGTTTCCCATACATTGTATCTGTGAGTTAAGGCTTATCCTACATTGTATCTGTGAGGGTAAGTTTCCCATACATTGTATCTGTGAGGGTAAGTTTCCCATACATTGTATCTATGAGGGTAAGTTTCCCATACATTGTATCTGTGAGGGTAAGTTTCCCATACATTGTATCTGTGAGTTAAGGCTTATCATACATTGTATCTGTGAGGGTAAGTTTCCCATACATTGTATCTGTGAGGGTAAGTTTCCCATACATTGTATCTATGAGGGTAAGTTTCCCATACATTGTATCTGTGAGGGTAAGTTTCCCATACATTGTATCTGTGAGGGTAAGTTTCCCATACATTGTATCTGTGAGGTTAGACTTACCTTACATTGTATCTGTGAGGGTAAGTTTCCCATACATTGTATCTGTGAGGGTAAGTTTCCCATACATTGTATCTGTGAGTTAAGGCTTATCATGCATTGTATCTGTGAGGGTAAGTTTCCCATACACTGTATCTGTGAGGGTAAGTTTCCCGTACATTGTATCTGTGAGTTAAGATTTATCATACATTGTATCTGTGAGGGTAAGTTTCCCATACATTGTATCTGTTGTTTCCCATATTGTTTCTGTGAGGGTAAGTTTCCCATACATTGTATCTGTGAGGGTAAGTTTCCCATACATTGTATCTGTGAGTTAAGGCTTATCATACATTGTATCTGTGAGGGTAAGTTTCCAACACATTGTATCTGTGAGGGTAAGTTTCCCATACATTGTATCTGTGAGGGTAAGTTTCCCATACATTGTATCTATGAGGGTAAGTTTCCCATACATTGTATCTGTGAGGGTAAGTTTCCCATACATTGTATCTGTGAGTTAAGGCTTATCATACATTGTATCTGTGAGGGTAAGTTTCCCATACATTGTATCTGTGAGGGTAAGTTTCCCATACATTGTATCTATGAGGGTAAGTTTCCCATACATTGTATCTGTGAGGGTAAGTTTCCCATACATTGTATCTGTGAGGGTAAGTTTCCCATACATTGTATCTGTGAGGTTAGACTTACCTTACATTGTATCTGTGAGGGTAAGTTTCCCATACATTGTATCTGTGAGGGTAAGTTTCCCATACATTGTATCTGTGAGTTAAGGCTTATCATGCATTGTATCTGTGAGGGTAAGTTTCCCATACACTGTATCTGTGAGGGTAAGTTTCCCGTACATTGTGTCTGTGAGTTAAGATTTATCATACATTGTATCTGTGAGGGTAAGTTTCCCATACATTGTATCTGTGAGGGTAAGTTTCCCATACATTGTTTCTGTGAGGGTAAGTTTCCCATACATTGTATCTGTGAGGGTAAGTTTCCCATACATTGTATCTGTGAGTTAAGGCTTATCATACATTGTATCTGTGAGGGTAAGTTTCCAACACATTGTATCTGTGAGGGTAAGCTTGTAACACATTGTATCTTTGAGGGTAAGCTTTCCATACACAAAATCCAATCAGTTGATAACATTTCATTTTGATAATGACAGCATACTGTTATGTAATTGTATAACTGCTGAAATTGCATCTGTCATGTCCAATAAAGGTTCTCATTCACAATATTAACAATGTTTAATCAGAAAAAGGAACAGCTTTTTGTCTCTATGAATCTGACTTTTTGCTCTGTTTCTTTACCTACCTTTTCCCATGTTTCTTTATAACAGTTTCCAGTCCTTCATCTTTAACGTTTTGACATCCATTTATACACAGACTTTCAAGCCTGGAAATAAAATGATTCTTATTTTATAATAACAGGTGTTGAACTTAACTCTGAAGGTCATATTTATTTTCAATCATTTTCTCTAAGTCTTAATTCCCTACCTCACCTGCATTACACCAGATTGGTCTAACATCATTGTTCAATTTGTTGTTAATAGTTCTGTTTTGAAGATGTGTCTTACTCTGTCTATCTATCTATATATATATATATATATATATATATATACATATATATCTGTAAGCTAATTCTTAAATGTCCAGGCTACTTTTTTGTTTTCAAATAATTTTTTTCAGCATTTTGTAAAAACATTAACCTCTTGACCTTCATGAAAATTCAGTTTTTTTTTTGTAGATTTTGTGTAATGAGATTCAATGCCTCCATCAAGAATCGAACCCAGAGTCTCTGGCTCTCTGGCATAGTAGTCTTATGCTCATAACTTGAGCTAACAAAGAGAAGCTAGTATTTACCAGGAAAACAGTTGTACAAGTGACGCTCTCAACAAGTAAATTACTTCATCAAATTTGATTCCTGATCACTCTTGTAGGCGCCAATTTAAAAATAGGAAGCGGTTTTACTGTGGGAGGAGTCTAAAGTACTCAGAGAAGACAAATGTGGTCAGGCAGCTGACCCAATACATTTTCAAATCTGGGAATCAATCCCCAGCTACCTAGGTGATAGGCCAGTGTGTTATCACTTTGCCACCTGACCATCCCAGTGTATATTTGTATGATCAAGCTTATTACCAGACCTTGGTCTAATACCAGATAAATACAGTATATCTCTTATGTCAGATTAAACCATGTAACAAAATGGCCACCCTGAATGCCAAGCCAAAGTTCTGACTAGGCTGACAGATAACTATTTATCAGCTTCTTTAACATCTCCACAAAATTTTAGATCAATTACAAGAATTTCAAGATGGCAGCAATACTGAATTTCAGATCAGACCCAAAAATAACAACATTTATCAGGATCACTTCATTCAAGTTTGAACTGATCATCCATCTCACAAGTGGAAACTGGGAGGTTTAAAATAGGTGTTGTTTAACCATATTACAAATTGGCTGTTTTGGCCACCATGAATACGTTTTGATGAGGCTTCCTTTCTTTGATATACCCACTAATTTTGAGAAGAAGTTTAAAATGAGTTTTTCAAGATGGTGGCCATATTGGTATATGGACTGATTGAAAAAATAGCAACACAAGTATTTTGTCAGGACCATCTCATTATCATTTCAGGTGAGTTTGGGCTGAATCCCATCAAAGAATCCTGAGAATTTTAAAATATGAAAAGTCTTATGCACAGTGCACAGAATCCAACGACTCTTTTAGTCAGATTAAATAAAAAACCTACCTATCACATGACCCTGATATAGCACCAATACCGCTATCTGTAACATTGCACCAGCTAGCATCTATATGTGTGAGACCATGACAGCGTGCAGAGGCATGGAGAAGGATACAGTCCCCAGTCAGGGCTCCACGACTGCAACCGCACAAATTGAGCTCCTGTATAACAGAAATAAGCAAGCAAACATTAACTTTTCATCCTTATATGTATCACCCATTAAAATGGTTTGTGTTCATACAGGCCTAAATCATCGAACACAGATAAATTCAACATATCAGCTTTAAAATTTCACTACTACCGTACTAATGACAAGAATGTCATAATTTTATTTAAAAAATGAAATATGCAGTCTGAAGAAATACATGTTAAATACAGATAACATCAATTTATTGCTTTCTAAAAGAAAGACGAAGTTTTAATTTTTTGTTTGTTTTTTGCCTGTGTAACTGTTCTACAGAAAAATGAAAGTTTTTAAAACAAAATTCCGTCTGAGGAAGAAGCAAGCAATAAGAACTTGTAAGAAAGTGAATTCTATACACACTATCCTCTGTCCATCATAAAATACAGATACTGACCTTGAGACCATCACCACATTCCCGGAACAGGTCCCTCAGCCCCCGGGCTGTGATGTTGTCGCCATGACACTGGATCAGGGCCAGACTGGCAGGATGTCTCTTACCAATCTGAGTGAGAGACTCGTCTGTGAGGTGGTGCTTCTTCTTCACTGTGATATACTTCCCTGTCACGTATATACATATGTTAAATAACTCGCAAAAAAGATGATTAGCATTTGTTGTCTGTACTGCATACACACATCTATATATCAATAGTGTTATCTTATTCTATTGACAGAGATTCCCTCTGATAAAGAATATATCCTGCGGCTGATGAATTCTAGACCCTCGTCCATCTAATAAGAATATATCCTGCGGCTGATGAATTCTAGACCCTCGTCCATCTAATAAGAATATATCCTGCAGCTGATGAATTCTAGACCCTCGTCCATCTAATAAGAATATATCCTGCGGCTGATGAATTCTAGACCCTCGTCCATCTAATAAGAATATATCCTCTAACTGATATTTTACAATTAACTCCAGACGATTTTGGAATACAGACAGATTATCCTTCTTCATCAGACTTTCAAAGTAAGGCAGAATATGTTTAGGGTTGTGTTTGTATGTAATCAGTTCATGTAGTCAACGGTTAATGTAATTAAAGGCTTCTGCTTCAACATAAACAAATGATATCAAACATCAACAGTCATAATCAAAGATTGCTGCCAGTCAGCATTTTATTTCACTGATCTGTCTTTAAATTAAATGGGAATATCCATGTGGTTGGGAAAAGACCCATTCTTTTTCCTTCTGCTGATGAAAGGTGAAGGTATTACAATTGGACCATTGTACCATTGCACCATCCAATCAGTCACCAAGTCACCTAACAACCCATTCAACCATGTAAACACCTAGCCATCAAGTCACCTAACAAACCTTCCAACCAGGTAAACACCTAGCCACCAAGTCACCTAACAAACCTTCCAACCAGGTAAACACCTAGTCACCAAGTCACCTAACAAACCATTCAACCATGTAAACAGCTAGCCATCAAGTCACCTAACAAACCTTCCAACCAGGTAAACACCTAGTCACCAAGTCACCTAACAAACCTTCCAACCATGTAAACAGCTAGCCACCAAGTCACCTAACAAACCTTCCAACCAGGTAAACACCTAGCCACCAAGTCACCTAACAAACCATTCAACCAGATAAACACCTAGTCACCAAGTCACCTAACAAACCTTCCAACCATGTAAACAGCTAGCCACCAAGTCACCTAACAAACCTTCCAACCAGGTAAACACCTAGCCACCAAGTCACCTAACAAACCATTCAACCAGATAAACACCTAGTCACCAAGTAAACACCTAGCCACCAAGTCACCTAACAAACCATTCAACCATGTAAACACCTAGCCACCAAGTCACCTAACAAACCATTCAACCATGTAAACAGCTAGCCACCAAACTATTTAGCCAATCAACCATGTAAACACCTAGCCACCAAGTCACCTAACAAACCATTCAACCATGTAAACACCATGTAAACACCTAGTCACCAAGTCACCTAACAAACCATTCAACCAGATAAACACCTAGTCACCAAGTCACCTAACAAACCTTCCAACCATGTAAACAGCTAGTCACCAAGTCACCTAACAAACCTTCCAACCATGTAAACAGCTAGCCACCAAGTCACCTAACAAACCTTCCAACCATGTAAACAGCTAGCCACCAAGTCACCTAACAAACCATTCAACCATGTAAACAGCTAGCCACCAAACTATTTAGCCAATCAACCATGTAAACACCTAGCCACCAAGTCACCTAACAAACCTTCCAACCATGTAAACAGCTAGCCACCAAGTCACCTAACAAACCATTCAACCAGATAAACACCTAGTCACCAAGTCACCTAACAAACCTTCCAACCATGTAAACAGCTAGCCACCAAGTCACCTAACAAACCTTCCAACCAGGTAAACACCTAGTCACCAAGTCACCTAACAAACCTTCCAACCATGTAAACAGCTAGTCACCAATCAATTACGTTAAAGTCGGAAAAAAAGGCTTAGTAAAGAAAGTTATCTGCAAAAAAACTCAGACAGCTTAATATTCAGAACTACCTATGTGCTACCTAAGTAAGGTATACTTACAAAGTGAGTCATCCATGGCCACACGATGAAAGTCTGTACAGGTGCGTGCACATCGTGCCAAGTCTTCCATCGTCAGGTAAGACAGTATATGTAGTAAGATCTCATCTGGTAGACACAGCCATGCTGAGAATTTTCCCTTCTGTATCCGAGGAGTCTGATAATTCCATATTTGTAAGAACAATATTATATCATTATTCATCATTATTCACTATTGTGACATGTAATGTTAACAAAAAAGACACTTTTTAATGACAACTATGGTGTTTTAAAATGTAGTGAAAATTATTGTCTTGATGATCATTAACATGTAAAGACCTTTATCTTACTTATTACTACACTAACACTAGATCTCATTATTTTACTTAGTTCCTCTTTCTTACTGTTTCAATTTTCTCATGTTCATCCCAGTAAAAGTTCAATCTTACCATTTCATGATATTTTGAATAAGCATTCAAAACAGATTCTGCACCTGAAAAATGAAAGTATATACTTATATCCAAACAGCAAATTTGTACCAGCTGTAATCACAAAGTTTAACAATACAAAATTTTATTAATGACATAAAGCAATTTACTAATATTGATCTATTTTTAGAGATATTAAAAAATATTACAAATGTAAAATATAATTTTTATTCTCAAGATATTTCACAGGATGTTCTATACTAATAAATGTTCTGCATGTAGAAGAAAATACAACACAAACTGACAGTTGGTATGCTGTTAATGATATAAGAAACTTACATATGAATTACTTATTGTGAATGATATTGAACCTTTGTTTGGATTTGAAATATTTTTGCTCATGAACACATTTAACTTTATTCTTAGTCTACGAAATGATACCAACTTGTGTGCGAGGTCTGTGGAGGGTCCATCACCAACTCAGCAGGCAACCTGTGATCTACAACGTATGGAAGACTTGATGGGCTGTCTGGAGTAGGAGAAGATGGGGTTGTGGTGCAGTTCCTAGATGGCTGGTTCTGTGATACTGGAGCCTGAGATGGTTGGGGTTGTGAGGGCAGGATCTGGGGCGGCGGGGACTGGGATTGTGAGGGCTGGGATTGTGAGTGCTGGGATTGTGGGGGCTGGGATTGTGAGGGCTGGGATTGTCGGGGCTGGGATTGTCGGGGCTGGAGATGGGTTGAGGGATGTTGGACTGTTGAGTGTTCTGGTATCTGGGAGTGTGGTAGTGGGAGTGGGGATGAGGAATGTTGGGTAGTTGAGAGGTGGGGTGGCTGATTTTGCTCTGCCCTACTGGTGTCAGAGACACTATTGGGTGGTCTTGGAACAAATAAACTGTTCTCTACTATATCAGGAGATTGGCTATGCGAGAGAGATCTCTCCTTTGATTTTGGACGAATTCTTCGTGCAGGACTGGTTCTTCTCTCAGATGACAGGGGCCGTTCCCGGTCAGCTGGAGTCAAGGCAGTCTCTGAGGAACTGCGGTGCTGGAGACGGCCATGGCGGACATCTGAGGAATGAGGCCGGTCTGAAGAATTTCTGTTGAAATCAGTTGTTTTCCTGTTTGGATTCTGAGCACTACTGGGTCTCTGTTTCCTGGATTTAAAAAGTTTTCATTCTCAAGACTGTTTATTTTGTTGATAAAAATGTACAGAGTAATTGTTCTGATAGAGGTCAATCAATATCTCTGTGTACAAATAGATATGTAACTAGAGGAGAGTAGTTAGATATTACTATAACAACTGACTCGATAATCCAAAATAAAATTTAAATTGCAGCAAATTGTACTTACTAAATATACATGTCTCAATTCTTATTTTTTGCGGGTATATTTGTCTCCTTTGTAAAAGCCTGATTTAAGAAAAGGTAAGTCGTAAGTCAATAAATTGCCAAGGTCCTAAAATTTTCAGAAATATACCACTACAGTACATGTATATTCTGCATTACCTTTTTGACAGGTCTGCACTTGAGGGGCGTGACTTTTTGCTCTGCCCTGAAGCCTCACTAGTGGAAGGTGTGTCATCAAATGGCTGGGATATACTGTCAACACTGACTGATTTACTGACCAATCGCCGACTCCCACTTGATGGTCTAGCTTTGCTGTTCTGAGGGCCCTTCATGCTCGACTTAGTGGACAGTTCCCTGGAGTTGTAGGAACCCCATGCTATGCTGGATCTCTCCCAGTGTCTCTGATAACCAGGAGCTTCAATGGAACTCCTCACTTTTGATTTTTTATTCTTGGAGGTACTTTTTCTTGTATTTGGTTCACCACTTGCTGGAGGTTTTCTAGAAATTTCTTGTTCAACTATCTGTTCCAATATCCCTCTCTGCTGGTTAGTGTCCTCTGACAGATCTACCAATGGAGGGACCGGGGGTGAAGCGGGAGGGGGTCTCACTTGCTGCTCAAACATCTGATGCCAATCATCACTCTCACAAGACATGCTGACTACTGGTGGTCGCTGGGGTTCTTGATTAGAGTTATCTTCTCTTATCTCATCCTCTTCATCACTACTGTTGACAAGGTTTAACATAGGGACTACACATTCCACACGACTAGAGTTCCTACTTTGCCTTGTCTCTGCTACACTGAACACCTCAATATCCAGTGGCCCACTTTTCTTGCCTCTTAATGGTTTACTTTCCACCTCTGCTGACACATGTTCATGGAGCCAAATATCCTCTTTCCTCAACAATTCCTGGTCATCAAATATATCATTGAAATTATCTGTGTCTTGTGATTCAGGCTGATGGTTCTCCAACTCTTTTTCAACTCTTGCAGAATCAGAAACTTCCTGAAACTCACTTTCCAAACTTTTTCTTGTTTCTTCTAAAGCCTGTCTCTTCCTGTTAAAATAAGACTTGATGAAACTCTTCATTACAGGATCATCTATTGACTCACAAATGTCAATAACGTCCTTTTCAGTCCGGCCACAGTCCAGGTCTTCACTAGATGGTCGACCACTATCCCGGCTTTCTGATTTATTAGGTGAAGTTTTACCTTTAGGAGAGCTAGTTCCATGTATGGGGGACTCGTAATTAGTACCTGTAATTTCACTATGGTCTGTTTTCTCCTTAAATGTGACATTTTTGTCAATTTTATTTTCTCCAATTCTTTCTGTTTTTCTTTCCTGTTTTTTCTCTCTGTATTTTTTCTTTGTGGGTAGTATTGGTTCTACACCTATCAGAACATCTCCACAATCTCCACACCAGGTCATGTAGGGTTTATTGATCTCACCGCACTCTGGACACACAATCACACGTTTATCTTTAGGGTCCTCTCCCTTGTTTTCTTTCTGTACTGCTGTATTTTTCTGATTATCACTGTCTTTACCATCCCTAAGGAAGGAGAGGTCTAACCCAAGTTGATCCATTCTGTCAGTAATACCTCCTGCCTTCATTGTTGCCACGGTTACTTCTGTATTTACCAAGGTTTCTCTTTCTTCATAGACAGCTTCTCTTCCTTCTTTTTCTTCCTCTATCTCCTCCTCTTTATCTTCATGACTGGCCTTTTCTCGCCGATACAGATTCTCAAGAGAGTTGAAATATCTGTCAATAGATGCCTTTGCAAATGTTCTCTGTCTCTCTAACACTTCTTCATCCTCATTCTGTTGTCGCCTACAAAACCATAAATAATAATGACTTTTGAAAGGTTTTAATTTTTTATAAAGTGTATACCGCAGAATAATATTTTTGAGGGGTTAAATTTTTATGGATAATACTGCTCACTAAAGCTACATATACTATTCAGTTCATGGACATATGAATTTGTGGATTGAGAGTACCCACAAAATCGACAAAAATAAATCTTCCCAAAAGAGTTAAGTCAAGGTGACAACACTATACTCTGCTGTTCACTAAGTGAGAGTATTACGTTCAGAATGATGTGGTAAAATCTGCCTTTCCAAATGAAATAAACAAGAAATCAAACACTGTATGGCAACTGGAACACATTGATCTGTACATATCCTAAAACATTTATCAGGAATACAAATTAAACAAAAATTCTCATCCACATCAACAAAAAATTAAAGTTCTTTACAAAATGGTTCCTCTATTACTAATCATGGTGGAACCATTAACGAATATATCAATAATGCTTTTCCTGTAAAAAATTCAGCAAACAAAATGGTACTGTAACTTTCCTTTAAAAAATCTGCTCTTATATCATGAAAGAATTTATACAGGAAATACATTATACTTGATTCACCAGTAAAATAACGCACTAAACAACCAAGTGCTTACTTTTGTTCATGGTACTGTCTGATACCGTCGACATGTCGCTGAGATGACTGGGAAGTTCGGTCATCCATGCTGTCCCGATTTGGTGTCTGTCTTGCACTATCAGGTTTTTTTCCGTCAAGTAATTTTTCATGCCGACTGCTGAGGCGGGGTGAAGCAGTTGTCTTTTTACTCTGAGAAGGGGGACGTGGCACCATTATCTCCTGTGGAGCTAGAAATCAGAAAGATTGACATATAATACATCAATTATTTCTATATACATATCATCATCACATAACAGTAACTATAAGCATACTAACAAAGGTTTTATTGTTTCTAAGTTTGAAGACTTCAAATTCAATTAAATGGAATTGATAACATTTGATCAAACATGATAGCTCTTCATACCAGCATGCTACTGGCCCAATATCATGATCCTGGACTATTTGGTTATTGAGATAATGTTGTTTAAAGATTTTGAAACATTTGACACCTGTGACCTTGAAAATAGGTCAAGGTCATTCATTTGAATAAAATTTGTAGGCCGTTATCTCAGCTTGCTACTGGCCTAATACCATGACCCTAGGCCTTCTAGTTATTCAGAAGAAGTTGAAAATGTAAATTGTTTATGACGGACAACGGACAACGCTCGACAAAGGTGATCACAATAGGTCACTTGAGACTTTGTCTCAGGTAACCTTATGGAATCAAAATCACTTTGAGTGTACCAAATTTACTCACTTACTGTCATGTACTTAATTTGGATTGAATCTTTTCTGAAGTCTTTCTTTATCTTTTGAAAAAGTTTGAACCTTTCCATTAAACTTAGACAGTAATTTTTCAATTGGAATGTGTCACTATTTATACTGTTTCATGTTTAAATATACATGTGATATATATCCTAATTTTATGTTTACTAGTAACTAAAATGTGTAGAAATCTATACCTGACCTTATATTTAACTCATATTTATATACTCTACCTTGTGGTGTCACATGCTCCATGCCGGTCTGCTTCTGAGATGACACCATCTGGTATGGCACTGGATATCCTTGAGATTCTAGAAAATGAAAGTAGGCTTGTAGGTCCACATTCTCAGGAGGTGGCGGGTAGGGAATTCCTTTGGGTGGCTGTTGTATGTAGTTCTGATGCAATTCTGGTATATCTGTAGACTGAGATCCTGTAGTCTGGGTTGGATGGAGGTGAGGAACTGCGTGAGGGTGAAGCACTTGCTGTTGAGTTGGGGGATACTGTTCCGAAGGGTAAAACATAGGGTGAGGTGGCTGTTCCATTTTGATACTCTGCATTGAAGGAGACTTCAGACCTGTATTATTAGGAATAGGGGGCTTCTTACTAGAGTTTGTATTTGTATCAGGAGGGTGAGGAACCTTTGAAAAAGGGAGATAATTTGTTGGGTATTGATTGTACACACGAGGCTCTGATCCATCATAGGAATGGTAACTCCTTGCAGATAGTTGTTGTAGAAAGACATCAGCAGATGGTCCACCTTGTTCTGAGGGATGGGACATTCGTGCTGGTCCTCCTTGTAAATTAGGGATGGAACCCTGCATAGGATAGTATGGGTATATGAATGAGCCATGAACAGGAGATGCTGGTGGACCCTGGAAAGGCATATGATTATAATATGGACTGTGATGCATTGAATTGTACATATTTCCATATGGATTTCCTGCCATTTGCATCATTGCAGGGTTCATTGGCATTTCTGGGCGATATGGAAACATAGATGGAGAAATTTCCTCATAACCTGGTACCTGTCCCCCCTTGTAGGCTTGTTGATATATCTGAGAGGCAGAAAACACTACATTGCGTGGTATGTTAACTTGTTCATAGTTTCTAGACCCAGAAGTTTTTGTGCTATTGCTGTCTATTCCCTCCTCATTTTGTTGAAATACATTTCGAATTGGATCATATTTCGGTCGATTAAGCAGGGGGCGTGCAGATTCCTGACCACCATCACGGTCAGTCAGTGTATCTCTAATACTACCATTCACTAGTGCCGAGTGGTCTTGGTCTGCTGTGTCATTGTCAGGAACTGTCTGTTGTCTCCAATCGGCTGACAGCTGATGAGAAGATTTCTGTGAAGAATCATTGTTTTCACCAGAAAATGATTTTTTATCCTTTTGTATTTGCTTTCCTACATTATTTTGCCTTTTTGGAGCTGTTCTTTCTTGTTGTTTGTCAATAGATCGATCAGAGTTTTGACCTTGATGAAGTTCATCTATTTCCTTAATTGATTTCTCAAGGAATGCTTTATATTTCATTTCACCAAGTACTCCTTTTAAATCATTGGATGAAATCTCATCTAGAACTCTGGGAGATGTCTTTCTAATCTTTTCCTCTAAGGGTTCTGTATTTTGTTCTCGAGTTTCCCCAGCACAATCTGAATCTGCTCTATGGGTTTGAAGGCCGATACTTTCTAAATGGTCAAAGTCTAGTGATTTTTGGAACATGTTAGTCGTATCAAAATCTTGTGAATCTCTCATGAAATGAGGATTTTCACCAGAGCTATATCTATCAGCCAGTGCCTCTCCATTGTTGGCAGAATTACTTCCCTTTTCATTTTCATTATGACTTTTCTGTTCCACTTCATCAGCTCTCCCTGCTAAATTTCGCTGATCGAAATGTGCATAGCCATCACTTCTAATGATGTTGTCAGTATCAACTGGTAGCCCTGAATCCCTTTGTTTGCTTTCCCTGGTTTTAGTTACTACTCCTAAACCCTTAACACTTGCACCTCTATCACTCCTCTGACTTTCTTCTCGGATAATTATATCTCGTTTGGCACATTGTATGAGGCGTTCAACAAGCTCGTTGTACTCCTCATTACCTGAAGTGACTGTCTGATGCTTTAGCTTTTCCTTTAACTCATCAAAATCATCATTAGGAAACTCTTTATCTGAAAAGTTCTTGACATCCCAGCCTCCAGCATCTCTATCAAGTGTCAATGATAAGGAGGTTTCATTTGTCCTTGCTGATTCTGTGGGATAATGTGACAAATTTTTTGTAACATTTACAAACTGTGAACTTTGGTAATTCTTAGTTTTTCTATCAATGTCTTGTAAAATGTTATTTTCTGAAGTGTCCCCATTCCTAATCTGATTATTTTCTGTATTTCTATTGTTGATTCTTGATAACCCATTGGTTTTGTTAACTGTTGGTGGTGGAATGCCCTGTTCTGGACTTTCCACTGATATTTCCTCTCTGGAGGCAGACTTAGTTCTAAAGTATGCCAACCTACGTTGCCTGAGTTCTTCCTTTGTAGGAGAAGGAATTTTTGAATCTTCATCACCATCCATTGTCCTCTTATGGATCTGCAAATATTACATAAAAAGACATGCTTGTAAATAATTAAATATTAATTAACATTGTCAAGTAACAGATATATACGTGCTGATTTATGATTCAATCATCGCTTCTTCCTTAACTTCTTTTGTGGTTAGTTGTAATGCCATTTTGTATTCTAATCTACCAAAAACTATAAAATTGAAGATAAAAAAGGTGACTGCAGATGTCTTGTGTTTGATACCTAGTAATTTAGGCCATTGTGTTTAATTTTCTCACATGTAACAATGATATATTCCTTCTTCATGTATAATAATGTAAAGGTAAATGATACTTAAAAGAGTTACATGTTTTAAACTGTACTTTTTTGTTTAAGATTTTCAAAGTACCATAACATAACCCTGTAAAATACATTTGTTCTGTCTGTAGAGGAGTAATGAACAGTGTATTAAGAGTGAAGCTCTTCTGGTGCCAAAGTGAAGCTCTATAACAGTAACATGTGCAAGATCACATTTTGTTCATGTTTAGGATGAGTTGTCCCACGACTTTATCCATATGAGAGAAAATCTTCCAGAAGTTATGGAGCATAGATGCTCTTAACTGTACCATTACTGATGTTAATCAAAAGTCAAAAGCATTTTTACGTTCCTGAATTTGTTTCACTTAACTTTTAATTTCTACTAAACTAAAGATGATTTTACTCAAGTGAAATTGGTATGAATTAAAATGTCTTTCTTCCTCCAAGTACCTAGCTTATCATGCCAACCACATTTATAATGTCACAACATATACACCAGCACAGAAAATGTCAACATCACAATGATTACATGATTGATCACTTGCTGTAGTGCATTAAATCTTCTTCATTTGTTGAAAGTATTAACCAGTTAACCAAAATTTAATGGTGTTTTATTTTCTTGGTCCTTTCCACAGGGAATGCCGTTGTAGCCTGTAAACTTCGCTATTTCAAGACACCGTCTGACTCATATTATCACAATGTATCTAATTAGACCAATTAGCAAGTGTTAATCTATATTGTTGCCTACTGCATCTGATTTTGGACGCAAGCCGTGAACTAGAACTCCGATGTGTCTTCCCATTATAGAGTAAAATATACCTGGAGTTCAGCCTCAATGGTGCACAGGTAAGCCATAAATTACTTAACTAATTTTTTAACCACACAAAATCTCATATCCACAATAAGACAGATCAATGTTGTCATTCACATCAGTCTGGAATGTAAGGTACGGCTAGTATACTGAAAGAAATAGTAAGATGCCATATATTTGTTAAAGATCTGAAACACAACTCAACTCACGGTTTGTGTTAATGTCCGATAAAGAGATATTCGCCTTTCGCTGCATTTGTTTTGATCATTCGAACTTATTCAGTGGTGCCAGCACTTGTTTGTATCGGTGATCGCCATCTTGTTTCCCTGTAAACAACTTTATGATTTTTCTCTATATGAGTTTGATATTGTTTTGGTGGACTGAATATCTAATATTTTTAGCGAGAAAATATAGCTTAAGCATAATTTATTGTCAACAGCTATTTTTACTTTAAGACGAAAACGTGCGGTTATGTTTTAATTTTGTTCGAGATTAAGGTTTCCATTCCTCCAGGTTGTATATATGCTTGTAAATTTATTCACTTTGGTATTGATTTCAAACACTCATCTGACGCTGAAAACGTTGACGGACGCATGTAAAACCTGCCTCAGTAGAACAGTAATTATTTTTCCACATTTAATCTGTTTCTTTCTCATGTGTGTGATCTGACAGATTTCCAAACGCCTACACTGTTGCTCTATTTATCATTATTACGAATTCCTTGATGTTTTGTTTGCACACATTTCGAGGACAAGGAAAAACGTGCATAGCCCAAATGCCGTGTCACCTGTTTTGACGCATCTAATGAAACACTGTTTTAACAGGAATAGCCATATGTAGTCATTCGTGAGCTATAGACCTCTTGTTTCAGTAGACTGCGAGTTTTACGTCCACTATCACGGTCTTTCAGCGAACAACGAACTAGATGATGGGCGTTGGCTTACAAAATATTTCATGAAAGGCACTGATTCCTCCTTGGGACTCATTTATATTGATCAAGATTGTATAGATATTTGATTTTTGAACGGTCTGTTATTGTTTCATATGGTTGTTTTACTGTTTGTTTCATGCATGATGCTTATGCATAATTTAAAACGAAATTTCAGAAACATTCACTTACAGCAATATTCAAATAGATATCCTTTGTACATCCAAATAATGTAGTTAGGAGGTTAACATCGGAAAGTCTTTTTAATGTAGTTAATCCACTACATAATGGGTTGAATGAATGATGTAAATATAAGATACCTTTTTTGCCTAAAATTTGCATAAGAATGAATATTATTGGCAATTGGCATCGTATGCATATGAGAGTATATATATGGAAAATCAAAGTGGTTAAAATCACGAATATATGTATGCTAAAGACAGATATGTCTATGTAGTCAAACATTAAATTTCATACCATTTTACATTGTAATATTTCTGGCAATGTGTGCACATATCTTTGAATATTTGTTTCATGCCGAAATTCTGAAAATTGGTGACATCTAGCCAATTAGTTTTGGATATGTACATTGCTTAATGGCCCCCTGAAACTGCATGCACCAAATTTGGATTAGCTTCATTGGTGGTCTATGTCTAAGTTTTTTATGCAAATGTATATATATTGACATTAAACATAGTTTTCATAATATTTTTGATGTATTCATATGTATACTGTATGACAAGCTTAGCTCACTGTTGAGATGAGCTTGGGTGCTACATGAAAGTAACCTTGTAATAGTTATAGATCACAGGACAGGTACAGTCATTCCCTAGGAACCACTTTTAATCAGAGTTACAGCCGATGCTTCTGAAAAATCAGTGTCTGACATTTCTTTTAATATGAATGACTTTTTTTGCATAAGGATCTGGAGTTGTTTGATGTGTCTTGTGCATTGTGTACAATATGGGTTCTGTCTGTCAGATGATTTCATTGGTTTGATTCCTGTCAACATTTTCCCTTGTTACTCGCTGATGTAAATCAGTGCAGTGATTACATCAACTGTTGCACCGCGGTAACCAGTAATCAGTATTTATATATACTTTTAATATATACTTTTCAAATCTGACCCCAAAAGCGTACCTGCACACTATACCTGAGTGCACACTATACCCGCTAATTTATGGTAATAATTCAATAAATGACAGGTTATAGATCAAGTGCAGGGTATATGACTGTACAATGTGTCTTGATTTAAAATTTTTGGAGTGAGTTTCTAATTTTTAAAGAAATTGCTTGATAATATTGATTATAAAACCGAACTTATTAAATGTATCAAAATTGACTGTAGATAAAGTTTAATATACAAGACAAAATTGTCTTTGTCAATTTCATGATCCTCAATGTAAAAATTAAGAATGTTGTTTTTATTTTCAGAATTCCTGTTTGATCTGCAGAGTTAGAACTAGTCCAACTGTGTTCCTACAACTAAATTCACACAATGGATTTCCAGCACAGGGCTGGAGGGAAGACCGGAACAGGAGGCGTTGCCTCTGCCTCCGAATCTAACAGAGATAGAAGGGAACGTCTACGACAGCTGGCCCTGGAGACAATAGATCTTCTCAAGGTATGAATATGCTATAATTATAATTATGTGTCAAATATATAGTATGAAGTTATTTGTTATTCCTGATGCAAAATTTGAGACCTGACTTTACTGATGTGCAATATCAACTAAATAAAAATGGAGCATCAGCACCAAGGATTCCGTGATCAGTAGTTTTATTAGGTTGGCATGTTTTGGCTAGCTAGACTAGCCATAATCAGAACAACTGTACAAGTATCGGCATAGCTAAACTTAAAATTACGGTTCAGCTGTGACGTAATAACGCATTGTCTTGATCACGTGATGATAACAACACAGTTCGTTACACTATACTAAGTAAAGGAACAAAGGTAGCTATAGATTATATAAAATACAAAAGTGGTACAGCTGTTTATAAAGTAATTGAAATATTCTGTAAAAATTTTCAAATGTAAATAAGAAGTTCTAAATGTATCATAGATGCATTGAGACCAGCTTGGCTAGCTGTCATTGGGATGGCAGTGTCAATAAATGTTGATGATGAAAAGTAAATGTGAGTAAAAAACAGTTCATCCGTGTCATGCTATGGTAAAGTATTCCAACGTTCTTTTGGTTTGCCTCCTACACTGGCTACAAGTCCGGAAGTGTGTGACATTTACTTTAATCTGGAATGGCGGAGCTAGTATCTGCATTGCTGGTAGCTCTCGTTTTATTCTGGGTGGGTCGGAGGGGAATCCATTCTGGTTCTTGGATATGTTTCTATTGCCATACACGGTATCTAGAACAGGTTGGTAATGTTCGTTGTTGAAGGGGTGGCCATATAGTATGGCGCAAGTTGTTGAGTTGGATGGATCCATATAGGATACAGGGGATCTCCACAGAGACACGAAGTGGGAAAATAAAAAAGAGGTGGAGGAGTCCAATGTCCTGTGAACGGTTCTAGATGTGTAATATGTTCAGGTCTAAAGATACTTTTTGATATGACATATCGCATGGTTTTGTCTGTTCATCCCCCTTACACACATTTTCTGCTGATCTCTCTGTTTCAACTACATGTACATGTAATTATGTTTTTCGATACATGGACTTTGATTTAGTTCGTAACTATAACATGTTTTTATGTTATACAAAGGAAAGTCACATCTGCCATGATACTTATATAGTGTTACATTTCTTTACTGTCACACATTTTGATAACAAGTGTATGTCACTTTGGCATTTTGTGTATAATCAGAATATGTTCTTTGCCTCTATTATACAGTTGTTATTGAAAGCATGCATGATAGAAACTTTATTTGATAAACTGTATCGTGAAATTTTAACATAAGGTTTCAAACTTTAGGGAAACTTGTTTAATGCACAAATGAAAGTAAGACAAGTACATTAAATATATATTCAAATGCTGTTGAAATCTTGAAGTTTTATTTACATGTAAAATAGTCCTTAATGCTGATACTTATAATGGATTTTGTAAGAAAGTTGACATGTTTATAAAGGTTATGATGTAAATAGTGTGATTTATTTTCAGTATGACAATAAGGGTTGTAAAACATTTACTTTTAATACAGATAAGAAAATTGGTGTTCATTTGATCTTTGCGTGTTTTTTTGCAACATTTTAAAGTATTCTGTTGATTTTTCAGGATCCTTACTTTATGAAGAATCACTTGGGCTCCTATGAGTGTAAGCTGTGTTTGACTCTCCATAATAATGAGGTAATGAATAGGGAGATTGAACTGTGTTATTTTAAGAGTGTAAGAAGCAAAAATCATGAAAACATTATCTGATAAGAAAGTCTGGTTGTCTCCCATTTGACAAAATCATGTCCTGGTGCCTGTTTAATATGCTAATATGATAGGTCCATCCTTATTTTACAAAAGAATAAACCGATGAAATAATGAAGTTGAGTTGATAAAAACTTCAAGAGTAAAGTCTTTTTTTTTGCTAACATCTGACATAAAGAATGAGAAACCTCCAAACTGTATGAGGGCTATTCTGGTAAGATATCCCATTTCATCTAGATTTGGAATTGTCATATCTCCACAGAGGTAATGAAAGTATTGACTGTATCATGGACACAGTTGATTTATAAAATTTGAAACTGTGGGGTTGATATATTTTATTTATACATTTTTTCCATAGAAAAACACAATGTCACTGCTACATAGTTTTTCCATCATATTTACAGGGCAGTTATTTGGCTCACACACAAGGCAAGAAACATCAGGCCAATCTGTAAGTATTGGTGTTATTGGAATTTTTCTAGATGTGAAACAGCTTTGTATTGATCTAAATCATACTTTACCTTAAACAGATCATCAATTATTTGTCAATTATTGAAGCCTAATTGTTTCTCTATTTTGAAATGAGTGGATCTAGAGAAATACCTTTAAAAACAGTTTGATAATACCAATCATTATAATAACATTGCTGGTACATTTCCTTGGTAAAATGCACATGTTGCTATGTTGATTATACAGTGCTCGACGTGCAGCAAAGGAAGCTAAAGAAGCCCCAGCTCAACCTGCACCAGAAAAAGCTCGTGTTGATATAAAAAGGTTCGTCAAGATTGGACGTCCTGGTTATAAAGGTAAATATGTGTTAAGGAACCATTTGAATGTTAGTTTCATTCATCTATAAAATACGCCCATGAAGTTCATTTCACTGCCTGTCAATGAAATTTCATACAACTATGGGAAAACAAAGTTATAACACTAATATTCAGAAATATGAACTTCATGTGTAATTTTGTGAAATGCTTTCCATATTTGTAATGTTTAGATATAAACTGAAGGAAATTTGATGCTGTGATGAGATGATCTCTTATCATTTCTACAGATTCTATGACTGAAGAAGAGTTTTCATGTAATGATTTTCAATTTTTTCCAGTGACAAAGCAGAGAGACCCTGACAACGGACAACAGAGTCTTTTGTTTCAGGTAAGGTTAGCGATATCTCAGAAAATAGGTGGTGGTCAGGAAGCAATATATAAAACCAAATCTAGGCACAAATACATTGTACACATGCTTGAAATTATGATTTCATACAGACAAAGAGTTGAAGTGAAATGAAAATTAAACTTTGCATCATAATTTTTGCCGAAATTTTTGTTTTTATATGGAGATAGGGTGTTGTACTCAAATACAGATATGTTATGTTCAAAGTGCCTTATGTGAATTCTGTTAACAGATTGATTACCCTGAAATTGTGGAGGGAATAATGCCACGTCATCGGTTTATGGCAGCTTATGAACAAAAGATGGAACCACCAGACAGAAAATGGCAGTACCTTTTGTTTGCAGCAGAACCTTATGAGACTATTGCATTCAAGGTTTGTAAAATCTAATTTATTTGTCAAGCAATACGCTGACTCAACAGAATGGGCTTATTACAGGACTCTGAAAAAATACATAGTGCATTTTTGGGTCACCTGGTGACTCATGTTGACTTATTGCGATCACCTACGGCATCATGCGCTCGTAAACAATTTAACTTTTTCAACTGCTTCTTAAAAACCCCTGAACCAAATTCAATGAAGTTTTGCAGAAACCTTCCTTGGTCTGAGATGAACCAAACCCACCGGGTCTGAGAGGAAGGGCCAAAAGGGGGTCAAATTAACTCAGATTTCACAAATCGTCTTCACAACACCCAGATATGGTAGAATCAATAAAGATGTATCTAAGGTGCTTTACCAAAACTGTGAATTTCATGGCCCCAAGGTCTAAAATTTCCCTTGTAGGGAAAGGGTAGTTTACTCTTGTTTAAATAGGAAAAATAGATTTTTGAGCAAAATTTGTTTAATTTCCATTAAATTACTTCAAACTTGTTTAGAATTATGAGTGAAGGATGACGGATATATGGTATACGTATGTTGATTCTGACTAACCCAGAGGACTGAAAGGCAGGGCTAATAGGTTTCAAATTGACTTATATTTAAAAAATCTTCTCAACACCCAGGTATGGTAGAATAAAATGCTCTTCATGGGTGGAAGTGTCTTAAGATGCTTAATTACCAAAATAGGTCTCAAATTTCTTCCTGGTGAGGAGGTTAGCTTTACTGTAACTTTTTATAGAATTTTTGAGCATGACATTGTTTATTTCTCACTGGAAATAACTTTGTAAGAATTATTAGCATAAAGTGACTGTTTGATAGTATGCCTGTATTGACACTAGCTTCCTATCATCAATGTCACAATTTCTTTTTCATGACATGAGCTACTTTCCCTTTAACCTGTATAATCAATATTGGTTATCTCAGGTGACCGTTCAGGCACCTAGGCCCCTTTTACCTATACAAATAATAATCTGGGAATAACTTCACAGTATCAATTTTTATGCAGTATATCTTCATCGTACTATCACAAATATTTGTTTGACTGTCTCGGCTACATGTCACCAATCAAACCATCACAAATGTCAAAACACTCTTGGTTTATACTCTCTTAACTATTCATGTTGTTATTTGTTAATTTTCTAAAGAAAATCTATGATATTATTGATTTGTTCAATAAATGACTTTGTACTGTTGAAGCCACAAGTATAAAGTTAATGAAATAAACATGTTATTTCATGGCAATTATTTGAAAATGGTAACAATTTGTCTTTCTCAAATCCCATAAGTATTGAAATGTTGTGTTGTAGCTTGTATGTTTTGGGCTAAAGGTGTTAAAAAATGTAAGATGAAACATTTTCATTGCAACCAAAGTTTTATTCTGTGATTATAAATTGTAGGTTCCTAGTCGTGAAGTAGACAAGGACTCCAAGAAGATCTGGTCTCACTGGAATAGGGAGACAAAACAGGTAGATTTACCATTACATGTATAAGTAAATCATGAGGAAAGATTCCAGAAAGGTTGTTAAAAAATTTCTGAAATTCTCATCTTTCAGGATATGATTAATATTTTTTTCCAGATTATAAGTACTTACAATATTTGTTTTAAAACTCGGCTGATACTTTTTGTTGAACCAATTTAAAGTAGAGAAGTGGTGCAATAAAAACCTCGATACATTATTATGACATGATAGTGTGACGATCTTAGTTTGTTGTAGTTCAAACTTTGGATAGTTTAGACCAGTTTTTCTCTTCTTGCTAAAAGTATTAATAAATGTAATTTACTTTCCTTGCAGTTTTTCCTTCAGTTTGCCTTCAAGATAGACTCCAAACCAACATCATCTGCACCACAGCCACCACCCAGTGGACCGCCTCCTCCTTCTTCACAACCTCCATCACAACCCTCAGCACAACCTCCCAGTGCCCCTGCTCCACAGCTTCCTCCTCCTCCAAGAATGCCGCCACCCCCTCGCATGCCTCCTCCCCCTCCTGTTCCCCATCCAATGCAGATGAGTGGAAATGCACCTCCTCCTCGACCCCCTATGAACTTCCCACCCATGCCTCCAGGTCCTCCACCCATGGCCCCTCCTCCTATGCCTCCAGGAAGTGCCCCTCTACCAGGTCCTCCACCTCCTGGACCCCCTCAAAGCATGCCAGCACCACCCCCTCCTCCTGTTCCTCCCCCCATGGTGCCTTCAGCAGCACCACCCATGCTTCCTTCTGCCCCTGCCCCTCCCCCGCCACCCCCACCCTCAAATCCACCAGGATCTTCATCTTAAGTCATACAGATGGCAGCTGGATTTTATTCATGGGATTATCACTACACACGGCTTTACAAATTTCAAAATGGACATACATTTTTTTCATCAGACAAAGATTTCAAAGTGAACATGTATCCTATTTCATGAGATCATGAATGATTAAGACTGAATAAAGACAATATTTAGATTATTGTTAATTGTTGTATAGATTACAAAAGTCGTGTAAAGCAGTTTCATTGTTTAACATATAAATGTAAATATTACTCCTGTGTTTCTTGTTTTTATGTGTTCTAAGTACATCGTGATGATGCAGTGTTATCTTTCAACAGCAACCTGTTGTGTTATTGATATCTGATAAGTCAGTGTTTATTTAAGGAGAGATCCATCTTTTAAATGATAACTAAGTTTACAGATGAAACAAATGTGATGTCTCGGGGTCTGTATACAGATTATTAGAGACTATAATAGCCTTGCTATGATCACATAGCTACAATCACAGGCACTCCCAAGTATCAGTGTAACATGACAGGCTTGCCGTATTGGGAGTGGAATTCGTTTTGATGATTACATTAAGCTGTGATTGACTTCGTAGATTACACTTATTGGAAAATGATTGCCACAGCTGCTTTAAATATCTTTATTGGTGATAGTAGGATTGGTTATTTTTGGGACTTCTTTAACCTTTACACGTGTAAAGGTAGTTCAGTATCAGTTATAAATCTTACTCCTTAGGACGTTTCCCTAAGACAAGACCAAAAGTACAATTAAGTTAATTTCAGAACATTAACATTCTCAATTTAATTAGTATGATTTATTCAGTCTATTACATAACTGGTGATTTTGTTAGCAAAGGCCATTTTACATATCTCGAAAATGACCAGTGGCTAAGTACTTCTCAATAGCCATAAACATTGTCACAAGGGTTCACATTCCTTATATAATTTCTACCCTTATTTACAATTCTTACCTTCCATTTCTATAATGACACTGAACTGCAGTTCAGGATGATTGCTACTCCAACTACTTGTAGTAGTATACCCATATGTGAACCAAGCAACACTTTATTGTACCGGCTCTGTTGTTTCGTTGTTGATGGTTCCTGAGTGCTCCAGTCTACAGTGGCTGCAGTCATGACATCTGGTGTTACCATGGAAATGCGTAGAATTCAGTTCCTTTTTGGCCAAGGTACCCATACAAAGAAGTGGTCTACATCGGGTATTGTCCATATATGGTCACTAGCTTGATGGACATGGCAATCTGAACGGTTTTTATTCAGAGCATTTTGTAAATGGAACTTCTTTAGTTATTGTGAAGGCCTTGTTCTTGCCAGGACGGAAATGATAACACTTCTTTAGACCAGGACGAAAATTGGTGGGGGTGTTAAGAAAAGGCTGCAAAATCAACATCGCAGCCGTAGTGACCATTTCCTAACATACACGACAGTTATTTCCCTACAAAATACATATGATCTTATCTGCCGTTCCTCTATTGTCAGGATTTTTTTAAAACTAATTTTGAGTACCTTCGGCAGCCTAAAACAATTCGGGAACTTAAGATCAAGGAGTCCTAGGAGGGTGGAAATGCTGTTTGGTGCTATTCAAAGTGCTATGAAAAACGTCGATCATAGTTTCCAATGTTTATCTTAACAACCCCCCCCCCCCCCCCCCCCAAAAAAAACAAAAAGAAAAATGAAAAAAAAAATCAAAGCACTTCCTCTTACAGCGATATGAGTTATCTACAATTAAATCATATATCAACTTGGCATAGTGTTACAAAAACGTGGGAGATAAGATAAACAAACGAGTCCCATTATCATTTCAGTTAAAGAAGTTAATGGTGTATTTTAATGTTATGGTAGTGCTATAGAGGAAGTTACAGGGCTGTACCAAATACTAGTATTCTACACCTAGACATACTTGCACGTTCTTCAGTTTTATCTACAATGATTAATCATTCAGGAAATGTATTGTCATTTGTTGACAGGTAAGGGTATCATTACGCTAAACACGCTTTAAAATTGATATAAATGAAGAGCGATGCTCTCTAGGTGTAGCTGTGTTTAGTCTCCTGTAGGTATATCCTTCTATGATGTTATATTCTTATTTTTCTACAGCTTTGGTGGTGTTCCTATCCACGATGTCAGTAAGCTTCTTTTGTTTGCATGATTGAAAATCTCCTATGAGCACGACGCGCTTTCAGTCAGATTAAAGGAACCAAATTATTTATGTATAGTACTTATAGTGGTTATATGGCTTTTACAGGTCTTCACATATATTTAATCTACTCTGTCGTCACCAGCCCTTGTATCGAACATACCACTTTCAAATGTTTCCTAGATTTTCTAGATTAGCTTGATCACCTGATTTCAGTAATATTCATGACTATTAATGCTACAGTTAACAATTGAATTCATTTTGACATTTCTCATTTCACTTTGTGCTATATATACATCGCTTCATAAAACGAGGTTCCTGACGCTTTTAAATTACAAATGGATTACTCGTGAAGGAATTCAAGACTTGGTCATTGCTTTTTGATGACTGTTGTCAAACCATTCCTATCGGTTGTCTGATACCGGACAGTCTTCCCTTTCATAAATGGAGCACCCTTTCATTTAATGTTGTGTTTTTCCTGTTAATTCGTCATGTTAGGACCGAACTTTACAACCGTTTCGATGGAGGATCACTTCCTAGATGGTACTCCATTAGATCGTGATGACGAATATCTCGCTTGCTTGTTTGCCCCAGTTGCTAGGCTTGTACATGTATACCGTGAATGTTCATTGGTCAAACAAAGAACCAATGGATATGAGATTCATAAACGGGAAGAGAATATATTTGGTTCAAAATGAGGTTGATATAGGGGAATTTATTTGATTCAGAATGAATTTCGGATGAAAACATGATATCAATGATAGGAAGAACATCAACACAATTAATAAGATAACTGACATGGTTAAACTCTATCCGGAAGCTAGGTGAATGTCACCTGCTGGGATGTCTATGGAAAACACATCAGTTTGATAATGCTTGCATAACAGTAATTCATTATCGGATGCCCCACCCAAAAAAAAAAAAAAAAACAAACAAACAAACAAACAAAAAACAAACAAAAAAACAGCAAACAAACATTGCAATGGTTGAAATGTGCACAGAAATCATGGCAAGCCTTGCAGGTCTTTCTATTAGTATTATTTCAAAATTTTGTAGAAAGTATTTGCAAGTTATCTGGTAAATAGCGAAATGAACAAATATCGTTGTACTTTGCTTCTATATATCCTATGTAGGTTTTTCCAAACGCTACTTCTTCAATTCTACTTTTATATTTAAATTCTTACATTTTTCCACGAGCTGTATATGCCTGTAAACCATATACGGAATAAGGAGTTCCATTATTGATATATTTTCCAAACTCGTGGATTTTTAAAAATATTAATAAGTTAAGGATATATTATTGAATTTTACATTGGATGTAATATGTGTTCATTATGAATAAATGTTGTAGTAACCTTACATAACGGTTACTACAAAATGACTCAAATACAGCTCAAAATGACCACAGTTGTTTATGGGGCCATAACTAAAAAAAAAGATGATCAAATATCAGGTTAACTCACGTTAGAGGTAAATTAATTTCCTTTCAGTGTAGTAAAGCGCTATCTAGTAGTCCCCGTGGTTATATTTCCGACTCGGTAAATAGCGATGGCTGGGGACAAATTAATGACAAGGCAAGTGTTACTCTTGAAAACAAGTGAATGTATTAAAACGAGCAGTGTATCTGTACATAACAATATAGGTAACATTACAGGTTTTTAACAGTTCGAACAATGTGATGTGGTGTCTAAACAATGATTATTTCAATGTTTAATTACACATATTCATATAACGGCTTACAATACACACACACACACGAGCTCATACTAAGTTTACCGTACCATGAACGATGTAAAAACCACACATACCAGTTCATATTTCATCTCATTTCTCGCGACAGCTTGAGTCAATATTTCAGTTTACATTGCGATGAACGATTTTCATTACAGACATATGAATTCATAGTTCATTTCACATATTTCCTGGAATGGTTTGTAGCAAAAACACACGAGGTCACAATTCAGTTCACTTCAAGTGAACTCTATCATAGGACATTAAAGCTCCGACACTATAAGACGTTGAGGGCATATTACCCAAACCTAAGGTAAATATTGCTAACAGTTGACGGACAAAAGCCAAATGAGGACAAGAAATGCATAAATCCTAGATTCAAAACATTTCTGTGATGTAGTGCTGTAAACATAATTTTTCATTGATTTCAATACCTTTTTAAGGTATTTAGTTTTGCTCAAGTCCTCAAAAATCATAAATGTTAACCCTTACAAAGAACATAAACACCTTTGTGAAGAAAAGCCAACTGGAATGTCTTTGGTACTAGTATCTGTACATATGAAATGACAAGGTTTGAAGATTGAAAATTGAAAATGCGATACTCTGTATCTGTTGCCAGAGGTTGTAATCTTGAAGTTTGTGATACCAGCCTGAATTCTCAACATTACGTAATCACGGAACTACGAAGGTAGTTAATGGACACAAAAGTCAAGGACTCTGTCGAAATAGTGTCAAAACCTACATTAATGTGCTTCAATTACCAACATATTGCACAATATATATATAACAATCCATGGTTGTGCCAGGAGCCACAAGTATTGTAATATAAGGTGTGAATCATATGTGAATAAGTATGTATGTCATTCCAAACATTTCTAGCATGTCGGATAACTATGGAAGTTTAACCTGTACAGTTGTTACACTAGTAGTCGTGATGTAAAAGTATGGTATAAATATTACTCTAGATTCATATCCTGGCTTCTGCAACTTATTTTCGAAAAAAAGAAATCGTGGACAAATATCCTAGTTTGATATTTTCGGAAATTATTCTCTATATCTTTATCATTAAGAGCTGAAAACTTCATTGCTGGTTTACAAGACAACATGACATATGATCATAAAACAAAGATGTTCCCGTATTTTGAAATACCAGTTCATATCATAGTTAAGCATGTTAATGACGATGCAATACATATCCTTTCTTCATAATTTTGAATCTGTTCGAGATTTAAACCTAGCATCACTAACGAGTTCTAAACAGAAGTATATTGAGGTTTAGACATTTGATTTGCCTATACATGTCATATTCTGTATTGAAACGTGTTTTTCATTTCTCTGTCGTTTGTAGCGCTACAAATGAATATCGTATCCGTAGCCCCAAGCAATTACACATTTCAAGTTATTTAAGAAATTGACTGTAAATATGCTTTGTGGTAACAAATATTGGACTAAATCTGACGTATTTTTATAAGGATTGTAACAAAATGAATGAGTGCTGACAGTACCGTAGTAAACGAATACTGTTGTAGCATAATATATCCAAAATTTTGTGATAATGTTCTTTAAATATGGAGCGATTGAAAGTTTTTGAAATGCAGAAGTCAATTAAAAAGACTAAAATATTTATATAAAAAAAAGTTATATATTTTTTCTACGAACCCATGCCTGATACTTTCCACTTAAGGAAAGGGGTAGGCAAGTTCAACATTTCAAGCAAAATATCCACCATTCTAAAACACATGGATGCAAAAACGAATAAATTAATCGCTGCAGGTAAGAGATAATGTTAATGATTAAACATTCTTGTTTGTAAAAATTTAGTGTATTGAATCTGTTTGTACTAATCTGTTTCCTTTATAGAGGTCCTACCAACGAGTCTGGAATATCCATAGAAGATTGAACAGTATTTCATCCTTTATTAACACTTTGATAATCAATTTTGAAAAAAAAATGGTTGAATACTCTATCGGATTTAAATAGAATTCTGGATTTACCTCCCTTGATCAATATACCACAGTGACTAGTTAATACGACATTGTTAAATTTGAAATTGTCTCTCATTAAGCCATGAAAATATTAGCACAACTACTTTCAATAAATTATGTAGTGTATATTGAAATTGGTAAATAATAAAGATTAAATTTTAGGTATGTTGGAAGTATTTCAACACTGTACATTGTTTGATGTGAAAACTCCTAATTGATACAAATCTTTAGATTTGTTTTACTACTCTAAAAGCCACTATACAGGTAAGTATGAATGCGAAATAATGCTGTTCATTAATCCAATCGATTGGTTAACAACGGCATTGTGAAAAAATGATAAATCCAAATATTTTTACCTCTGAATATTTTCATGATGAAATCGATATTGTATTGAATATACAAATAAAATTAAGTAAAATCCGTGTAAACTCGTTAAAACACCCACTTAAGATGGGAATGAATGTATTTCAAATCCTTTAAGTACGTATGCGGGGGTTCATGAGGAAATGTTTATCGCCATACATGGCTGTCAGCTAAGCTGTTTAAATAACGCTTTGACTGGTAAACGGTTGCCATGGTTGTCTCTGTGGAGTTTCACAACACTTTCATCCAGTTGATCAGGTAAAGTATGTGAGTACTGACGTTTTAATGTGTTCATAGATAAGTCTTCAGGCTCGTTCTGGACTTCTAGCTTCACTGATGCCTCAGCATCATCAAACACAGGAGAGTTCCTCGACGGCGTCCCTCTTTCAGATTTTACTCCACTAGAATTACTCGGACTAACTCTACTTTTATCAATGAGATCAGTAGAATCCGACAGATGGAATCCACCCATGATCCCCCCATCATTATGCTGATGTACACTTTTAGGAATATTAATAAAACCGTTGTTAAATGGAAGTCCAGAAGGAAAATCAGTACAGTAGTGATTGTTGAAGTTATTGTGGGAGTTATCACTAGGATGATATTCAGACTTTATGACTGAAGGAATGTTGGGTGACGTTTGTGATCTCTCATCTACCTCTTCAACCCGTTCGGAACGTTCTTCATGATCAACTTCGTTTTTGACCGGCGTTTGGGGTGGTGATATGGTCTTGCTGTGTGGTTTTGCACCCCTCTGACCCTTTTGGATTTTGGACGGAGCTTGAAGAAACCTGAAAAAACCCACCATTTGATGATATTATTGAAGTACTTTATGTTTTTTTTAAAATGTTGAAAATATCAAAAAATGAGTTACAGTATAATTGGGTTAATTTGTTTCGGTCGTTGTAGATATTCTACCCTCCAAATGTCCACCTATACTTTAAGTCCTATTGGTGTTAGTGTAGGCAAAAAAACCTGACGTACCACCGACTCAGCTATTGCGGGTTCTTTCAAAGAAATCAACTATAATGATATGGACTCATAAAATAGAAACTTCTGATAATAAATATAGAAACCCATCAAAAAATAAACCAACTTACTGATATGTAAGCCGACGACCTGAGACCTTTTTGATGATGTTCATTCGATAGTAGTACCTGAGGGCCCTGGACAGTTTCTCGTACGTCATATTTGTCCGGTTCTTTTGGTGACCCCAGAGCTGGGCCAGGCCTGTAGGATTTATTATCCGGAACACGTAATCCTGTGTATTCTCCCAGCACACATAGTTACTGTACTGATGAGGGTTCTGTAGCAGTTGATAAATAAACTCCCACAGTAAACGACACTCTGTCAAATAAGCAAACAATGCCGATGATAAAGTTGTTTTGTAGTTAAAATGATAAAAGGTATAAGAACTGACGTTCACAAAGTAAGAAATTTGGAACAAATATTGTCATTGCTGGCCACCCAATCAAAGTAATCTTCAGTATCGAATATTTCACCAAAGAATCCTCTTTCGTACATCCCATTGTTTAAGATATAAAATATAGATTATTTCTTACGCTCTAGTTGATTCTATCTTGGCCACTTGATGGAGAGAATTTATAAGCATAAGTTGTTTGTGTCATCTTGTCAATAAAATTTGATGAAATGAAATGAAATATACAAATGTGTATATACATGTATCCCACAGAAGATTTTACGCCTAGAAACCATGACATCACTCAGACACACATAAGGAGACATCAATATTTAAACATACGATTAGTATAATGCGTAAAGATATCTAACTAAAGTAATTTTTGACTTTACAACATTGTTGAGATTATTTCACAAAATAAATATTACTGGACAACATCAATATATTTGTATTCCAAAAAGCTAATATCATTTCCAATTAAATTGGGCATTCCTCATAAAAAACAGCAAATTATTTCTGTCTTTTAAGTGAACAAAAAGAGACTACTTCAATTAGTAATCAGTATGTAATTTAGCTACATACCGGAGTCCTGTTTACGGAGCATCAGGGAGTGTGACAGAGTTGTGTCCCCTGTAGGTAATGTTGATGGCATGTTGGGGGAAAACGTCAAACTATCACATAAACTGTTCTCGTCGGGTAATTTGTCACAATCTGGAATAAATAGTTCAATTCTAAATATAATGCATCGTATCCAAAACATAGTAATTCAATAAATGTTTCACTTTCTGGTAATGGTAGATAATCCCTCTCTCTCCTTATGAATCCTAATTATGGGTTAAAAATCTTCAGGGTTTACTTTCACTTTCAGTATCATATTGATCATTATCACATTAGGAGCATACCAGACCAGGAGAGAGGTAAGAATGCGAGTGTTTGATTTTCTCTGCCATAAATACTTCGATCACTGTGATATATTGATAGGTGATTTTAACTATGGTTAATGTCATACACACTGCTTAACAAGACTTAATCAATATAAATAATTCGCTCTATTGGACACAATTAATTTTCTCTGCTTGGTGGGTATATTTGTAAATGTTAATGTTGTTGTAGGTAATGGGAATAGAATATTACTTATTATAGCCTTCCTTTTTCCTGTTTAGTAGCAAACTTTTAATTGCTTACATATTTTACGTTGAATCGAAACCTGTTACAGTTTTCGTCAAAACTGTCCTTAATGAGAAACATTAGAGTTGAGGAAAAAGGTAGTTAAATTAGTCAATTACTGACCGTCTGGATCTGTCACTGGCTCCTCATCAGACGCACTGTCGGTGTCAGCAATCGTAGGGGCCGGACTTAAAACTCCTACAAAAGTCAAATATCATACATCTATTGTTTAAAAGATATCGTACATAAATGTATGTTAAATTCACCTTTCACGAAAATTGATACATTTAATTATGTATTGCAATGAGCTAATAATCGATACTTGATTGTCTTTACGTCATCGGTCTCCATTGTAACGTCTTCACGTGTAATGTGTGACGTCATAATAAATCTAATTACATGACTTCATACATAAATATATTATATGATTATATTCATTAAATATCACGACAAACAAGTGATGAAATAAGATTCATAACATATTTCATTATACATTCAACTTTTTATCTACTAAAAAGCACAATATGCACGACTACCTGGTACGGATGTTGGCTGTAATGATATGTCATTTTGGTGCAAAGTAGTCGCGATCGGGTTAGGAACAACTGTGTTATGATGATGAATGGGTGATGCTTTTGGCGGTTGAGGTAAAATTGGAACCAGTGAGCGTTGTTGTTGTCCCAGACGAGCAGGAGAGGACGTTGTCGTGGCTTGTGAGGTGTCAGATGAACTAAGGACAATTAGTCCAGCGTTATGGTTATTATCTGTAAGTAAAAAAAACAAACCTCTCTGTCATGGCACAAACTCCAAAATGTTACTGCATATCAAAACATGGCGTTTATTTATAAATGATTGCTAAAATGAAATATGACATCTCAATATTAACTAAAATAATCCCAGGGAGGGGTCGGGCATCAACTAGAGACAGACACGTGTATACCGTAACCTAGCAATGTTAAAAGGAAAAAAGGGCCATATATATATATATATGTATGTGTGTATATATGTACATATTATATATGTAGGGATAGAGAGAACATTAAAGTTTCCGATAAATTATATCATTCGAAAGTACGAAAATGGTATGCATCATGCATATCTGAGACTGATCATTTTTGTTATATACTCTTCTGCATGAGTGATTATTTATTTAGAGGGCTTCATTCAAATACATAAATGTGCTTCAGAATGTCACGCCTTCTTTTATCTCCCTGAATGATTTGTTAACAATGTTATTTTTCGGGCCTTGACTTCAGTTATTGTTGTGAAGGAATCTCTCTCATGGGTTTGTTACTAATTTGTAGTGTTGCAGGTTAAGTAGTAATGAATCACAGATTTCGTTGTTGAACAAGGCATTCATAAGATATATATAAATATACATGTACTCACAAACATAATGATTAATTTCAGTAATTTGCGCCGACTGTCAAAGGTTATAAGGATAACCGCAGAACTTCTATATACGATAAAGTGTGTAAACTACTGTAGTGTGAAGTGGAACCGGATATTTGTAAAGTCCAGAGTGAGTCACAATAACATCACGTACGACCCATATTGTCTTGTCATGGAATACCTGGAAGTGTGGTCTATAGGTACACGTCACTAAACGTTTACTACAGTAGGTGTGATACCACAGCTATCATTAATACGTGTCACGTATATCCGGTTGTTTTTTTCTTGTAGATGAAGTCAGCCATGTGCGGATGTATCAATATAGGAACTGTTTGTGTATTTGAATTGCTCCTTTGTTCTGTTAACACCGAAGGAAATTTACAGCACGTATACCAAAATATACAAGAGGCCCTATGGGCCTGAAACGTTCACCTGGTATATATTTGATTTTTTGAAATTCATTTGACGAACAAAAACATGGGTATAAAAATCATTATTTAAATAAAGAAACACAAGGTAAATGGACCTTAATGGTTATCTGAGAATAAATAAGGCTTGAAGTTATGTTGTATACAAACATATTGGCAGTATGTTATTGGTGAACATCATTTGTGTAATTGAAGATTGTCAGTAATGTTGCATGGATCAATGTGTTCAAGAAATTTGATAATGAGGAAGTTGAGTACTGTATTGTGACATTTAACTCCATCAAATAGAAAATGTAGAAAAGGGCCTTAACCCTACAATCAAAAATGTTTTATCCTTAAATGGATAACATGAATTATTTCTGAATAGGTATTGCATATTATATTTAATGAAAATTGTAAAACTAAGGGATGTATATCACAGAAAACGATAACAGCTCTGTAAATTGGGGTTTGAAATGGCTTGATTTTAAACTACACATCTCGGTACTCCCGAGTTCCTGTGTATACAAGGTCCAGTTATAAAATAGCCAAGGCATAACATTGGAAGTTATGACTGAACTTGCTACATAGCTGATCTTGCCCAAGATCTAAGTAAAGTAAGACTTGATATCAACTTTCAGCAAACTTTCTTTAAATTTACTGAAGTTTTGTATTGGCAAGGTCCTGAGGTACATGTTCAATGAAATTAGTCTGATTGTAGAATTCACCTTTGGGCCAGGCGAGATAATAACATTAACTATTCCGTACATGTGTCTTTAATATGTATCACTACTTACCTCCCCTGTTCTGTTGAAATGCAGCCGTTGAGAAGCTGGTGCTGACTGGTGGCAGTATGGACGGATGGTAGGTCGGCACGGGTGAACAGACTAGGTTGGCTGCAGATGAAAATACAAGAAATGGGCAACTTTAGTTATATATCCACTGCAACCAAAACCCAACTCGTGACAACATCAAGATGACATTAAATATACTTTATCTACTTTTACCGGTAGCCAATGAGCACCGTATCCGGTTTGAATATGAAGACAATTGAAAATCTTCACTTCAAATGTCAACATTCTAGATCCTGATAAAATATGCCCTTCTGCCCTGACATTGTTTATTAAGGACATCTTCGATAAACCAATAGTTGTAATATGTGATAAGTTCCAGACATAAATCAACTGACCAATCACATTTTATACCTCACCACCCCTAAAAGCTGCATACACCACATAAATTGTTCCCCGAAGGTAAAAAAAATGTATTATCAAGTCTGGTATCAATATCGAAAATGATCTACATGTTTATCATCAATTTTAAAGCGATAAAAAGTAACTTTTTTAAATCTTTGTATATATTTTCCGTGCTAGCCGACCGAAGGTATTTTTAAGAAATGCGAACTTATTTTTTACGCAATGTTTGCTAGCCTACGTTACAATACTGACTCCGTAATGTATGGTAATATTCCAGCCTGACGGATCTGCGTTTCGCACATATAGTACATCCTGGATATCCACTGGTATAGAACACTAACTGCATTTAAGCGAGCAAAAACATCATTAATCGAAAATAATTAAGTGAAATTTCATGTGTGACTTTTTTTTATCGTTTTGATGGCAAGTCATATCCGGTTAAGATGTTGGGATAAATATGTGGTAGAATGAAGACGTAGATTTTTAATGCGATTAGTCACTAACCAAATTATCATAATCATTTTCCACTTACATTACGTAGCTAAAACCATTTAGTTGCGTAGTTTTTTTTTTTCAAGAAAAGGAATCCAAAATGCAATGTCTACAAGATTATAACAGTTGTCACTATGTTAGTCGTTATGCTGCGATAATAACATGCAGTCCGTTAAATTCTGTTTGTAATAATTTGTTAAACATCATTTTTTTATTATGAAAATATTGGAAAGTAAGGCACAGTTCGGTTTCATTTCTAAAGTACAATCTGGAGATCAACGTCTGTTTTACAGGGAAAAGATCTATAAAAAAATGTTCTGAACAACAACAGGATGTGTTTTCTTTAAACTGCGCAATAACATGTTGATACGAAAGCTATTAGTATTACATCCGGGTTTTTACATATAGTGTATATAAACATCTAACGGAAGTAGAGTGTTAGGAATGTGAGGCGACATATGGTGATACTAAGTACTTCTTGTGTATCAAGTAATATGAACTGATTGTCACAAAGGACAAATGCTATTTACTTAGCGAATGTTCCCGGAAGTATACATTATGAAATCTGAATTGAAGTATGACCTGTTTCAGAGCATGTTTTATGTTGTCTAATTCGACATTGGCAGTGTTTATAGTATTGGTTATTACGACTTGTCACGGCATAAAAAAGCGACAATCTACATTTAATGTATTCCAAATCTTAAATGATCTTTTCGATTTCCTATCGTGTTTTAATTATGAATTTGAATACGGCATATAGAAGTCTAACAGAAATAACATGAGATCTTTATTAAGAATTAACTGTAATGGAACCTATATGGAAGACGATATTCAGTATATCAATTTAGCAAAGAAACAAAAAATGAAAACTGAATTGTCATGAAATGTTGCGTTTAACAGACCTTAAATGCTGTTTTCTTTCATATCAATATATAGTTATATAAGTCAGTAGAAGTGATACAAACAAGTATACACAGACAGGACAACTGGGTCCGTGTAGAAGTGATACAAACAAGTATACACAGACAGGACAACTGGGTCCTTGTAGAAGTGATACAAACAAGTTACACAGAAAGGACAACTGGGTCCTTGTAGAAGTGATATAAACATTTACACAGACAGGACAACTGGGTCCTTGTAGAAGTGCTACAAACAAATATACACAGACAGGACAACTGGGTCCTTGTAGAAGTGATACAAACATTTACACAGACAGGACAACTGGGTCCTTGTAGAAGTGATACAAACAAATATACACAGACAGGACAACTGGGTCCTTGTAGAAGTGATACAAACATTTACACAGACAGGACAACTGGGTCCTTGTAGAAGTGATACAAACATTTACACAGACAGGACAACTGGGTCCTTGTAGAAGTGATACAAACATTTACACAGACAGGACAACTGGGTCCTTGTAGAAGTGATACAAACAAGTATACACAGACAGGACAACTGGGTCCTTGTAGAAGTGATACAAACAAGTATACACAGACAGGACAACTGGGTCCTTGTAGAAGTGATACAAACATTTACACAGACAGGACAACTGGGTCCTTGTAGAAGTGATACAAACATTTACACAGACAGGACAACTGGGTCCTTGTAGAAGTGATACAAACATTTACACAGACAGGACAACTGGGTCCTTGTAGAAGTGATACAAACAAGTATACACAGACAGGACAACTGGGTCCTTGTAGAAGTGATACAAACATTTACACAGACAGGACAACTGGGGCCTTGTAGAAGTGATACAAACATTTACACAGACAGGACAACTGGGTCCTTGTAGAAGTGATACAAACAAGTATACACCGACAGGACAACTGGGTCCTTGTAGAATTGAAACAAACATTTACACAGACAGGACAACTGGGTCCTTGTAGAATTGATACAAACATTTACACAGACAGGACAACTGGGTCCTTGTAGAATTGATACAAACATTTACACAGACAGGACAACTGGGCCCTTGTAGAAGTGATACATACACAGAGGCAGTATCGTTATTGTATCACGTAGCGTTCAGTTCACAGACGGCTTTCAGTCATTTTTGAGTTATTTCAGATTTTCCTCGAAGGACGGAACAGCTGCCTGATGCAGTTTACTTGTCTCTCAATATCTAATGAGGAAATTACGTACAGATGGGTGATATTCAATTTCAGAGTTTTTGTTTTGTTTTGTACAATTCTTCGTTATAAGTATATATATTTCATTTCTCCGAATAAACTTCCGCTTTGAAAATAGTGAAACTGCAGTAAATAGGTCAGAGATATAGTAGTACATCGTCAGTAAATTGATTCTTCTAATGCGCAGTTACGGTGTGAAAACTTTCAAAGGTTTTCATCTTCCTGATTAATAAAGTGGTAAGCCACTTTTGTATAGTTACGTTAACAAAACCACGATTTCTTCTCTACAAAAATATGTGATTCTAATTTATAGATAAATTTAGAATATGCTCCAAATCATTTATACTGCGACTGGGTCAAAGGATTTTTCCACGTGTTATTGAATTGGACATCAGGAAAAATGCATTTTATCTCTATTTCATTCTAGTTTTTACTATTGATTAGTTTTTGCTGGAAACATTAGTTTGATTTTCATAAGAAGACTAATATCACAACGTAGTTTTCTAAACATCTGATAATTTCAATGTTATTGTAATGTTCTAGTCATATATGTGATTTTTGTATATGTTGGCCAATCGCCAGTGTGTGTTATTTTTTGTTTCTGTTGAAGGCACGTCTAAACACTAACCAGAACATCAATGCATCATTTGACTTTTGAAAATAGATGTTTGACATATTTCCAAGGCTTGAAGATTTACGTTTGCCAAACTATTACTGCTTTTGTTATTTCAGTACCAGTTGAAACATTGGGTATGAAATCTAAGGACTGTACAGGAAATTCAGAAGTGAATTTCACCGTTCAATACGAAATTGGCAATATGCCGAGTAATAAGTGAAAATGCACAACTGTTTCGTCCATGAAAGCTTAATCAGAGATGCTAGGTTTCAAATTGTTAAAAATCCCAACGTTGATGCTAATCAAACCCTATACAGGAAAGATTGTGTAAAATATTTTCCCCATGATTCAATCAATGATTTTCTGTTTCATATTTTATGATTTTAAAGAACTTTTGCAGACAGAAGTAAGGCCTTAGACATCAGTAAATCTCAAACTTGGATTTTTTTGTAAATATTTGCGGTGAAAAAGAAAGTAATGTGTGAACACTAATCAACGTATCGATAGTCTGAAGTCATTAATACTTACCAGGGTTTCGTTGTATCAGTTTCTGTAGGGCATTGTATAAAAGGTCCCCATTTTTCGGTATCCTCGTCATGAAGTCCTCCCGACCCAGTAGACATAACGCTTTACCTGTGATAGACATTTGTTACGTTTCATCACGAGTGATTTTGATATCATTAGCAAGTTTCAACAACTTTTAGATCTTTCATCATGAAATCTTCTACGCTAGAAGAAGGCCAGCAGTTTTCAGAAACCTTTTATTTCTAACTGACTGATTGTGACTTGATTTAAAGCGTCATGTACTGTAATTTCATGACTTGTTTAACTCGTATTATTTCGTACCTAACGTTTGTAATGTAAGTAAAACCGGTGATCGGTATCAATCATGAGAATATTTTTCACGGCGATGCTGAATTGCAATTTTTCGGGATTTATGGTGAAGCGGAAACACTAAATTCAATCGCAACAGTCTGAGACGACGATCGGACATGGTATCCGGCTCGAGCGGAAATACGTGGACGATTCGATATAATGGAATTTCTTAAGCCTCAAAACTTGTGGTTAATAAAACTATTTTGAACAGCTATGAAGGCAGATAGAATTTCAAACTCATATCACATGAGGCGACCTTGTCGGCTGTAGTACAATGAGGAGATGAGAGAGCCATAGAAACAATTCGTCTGCCTGTGAGATATGGAAACTATTTGTATGACAAAGTGGGCAGAGCGGAAAAAAAATAGGGTGCTTTTAAATGATAAAATACACCTTTGTAGGCGTTGCTGAACTTACAATCTATTGACTGTATTGTGCCGAAAAGACAGCAAATATCCCACTTAAAGAATACCCATTATAAATGAAAATTATAAATGCATCCAATCATTTCCTGAACCCTTCACTAACATGTCCGCGACATCAATTTACTAGGATAGATACTCTCTACTGTATCATGACACGCACATAAGTATATTCTATCACCTTTTCTCTCAACTATTTAATATTCATTCTGTGAGAGTGCACAAGTGCATGAAATTTGTGAAAAGAAAAAGAAAGATCTGATACAGGAGATTTATATATACATAGATAAATTGATTTTACCGTTCATGTCTATTTTGTCTGGAGGTATGTTATCAATGCTGTACTCTTCTGAACACCATCGGAGCCAAGTGCCTACTTCATGTTTGCTCCATTGCTGGGGATGTTTGGCTGAAAAAAGATATATAGTTAAATATTGATCTGAAAACCATGCGTGAATTGCTTTATTCATTTAAACATAATCAAGAAAGCATATACTTTCAATGTTAAAATTCCTTGTGATAATTATATTTCAATATCCAATTCAAGATGGCTTCCCGTCAACTGGGTTGTAAACTGACGGACAATTTCGTAACACAGAGGTTCGAAAGATGCTGGTTGATAAAAAAAAATTATGGGGAAGTTGTATGATCGCCATAGTGATCTAAATGAGAATTATATTCTATTTGTTTGTGTGATATGAAGCTGTCTGATGCTCGTTAGTTTGTCTGTTGGTTCCTATGTTGTATACCTTGTTCTTGGTCTTTCAGAATATTTCATTGCGGGTGTCGTCGATGAGGCCCTAGTTTTATGGAAGTTGAGTTTGGGATTATGATTATGTTGCCATGTTGTATTTCCTTGATGTTTTTTGTTAAAGTGACGAAAATTGTAACAAACTTCTAGTGTCAAAACAAAAGGAAATGACAATATGTCAGAGAGGCACAACTAGGGACCAAGGTAAACTTACATCTAAAATTTGAGTAAGATCCAAATCGTGCGTCCCAAGAAATAAAAATGAAAGCTTTCATAGTATAAATCCGAGAGGGATACCCTATCAACCATTTGTTCCCCCAGAGAATCAAAAATACACAATTAAGGAGCAAAGAGAGTCTTCATATGAAATTTCAAAAGATCACTTCGGCTATCCTCGAAAGAAATAAATTCACAACTATTGTTTTAAGTACTGGCGGACGACGGACGGGCGGACGACTGATCACGGATGCAGGTCGGTATAAAAACACTTTGATTATTTTACAGTCTGTTTTATTCCTAGACACACTAGTAAGACTCGCACAAAGCAGTACATTATGTAATCGAGTACGTTATCAGTGACAAACATGACGTATAAAATAAAGTTCGGACACACAGGTGTTTCGAACTGATTTAAATGATATACCTCACCAATAATTTACTGATTTTTCTTTCATTCCTTATCATTTGGTAATGCTCACACTCGGTGATGTAATTTCGCCCGTGTTACAACGTTAGCAGTCCTCAGTTTCTGTCACAATATACTAAACTCGAGTGACGATAACACACACCGAATATTAATGGTTTATTGTAATTACCCACAAAGTTCACTTGTCACATTATTTTCATTTATATTTTGACAGAAATAACGTTTAACACGTTGGAAAGTCATAACTAAGTAGAAACTAAAACCACAGTGACGTCATTAAGCATTCATATGCGAGAGCAGGTTGATTGTCGTGTTTCTAACGAAGGAGTGTTTCTTTTCATAGGAAGACTTTTTGATCTTGCTAGTTTTTCATATAGTATTAATATGCCTACAAGAAAAAAAACAGTAGCACTTCAAAGAGGATTTTTGTTTTGTTTTTGTTTTAAAATATTTTGTTGGGGACAATGTGGAGCTACATACAGTGAAAGGGCTCTAGTTTTCAATTCCATATAGAAATCCCTCATGTAATTCTAAATTTGACATAAACGAAGGAGGTGTTAAATTATTCTTCACTGTAATATACACATAATGGCTATTTAACAAAAATAGGTGTGTGTAGAATTTGCATAGTCTTACTTAGAATTCAACAGTGCAGTTTTTAAAAAGTACCTATCTCAATTAATATGCTATACCAAACAATCCCTAATTCAACCCACACACTTGATATTTTCCACTTCATGACCAAAACAAAAACATATCGCACTAATATCTCTCCAGGAAACACCTATCAACTCAATTGAGTTAGTACATGTAATATATTTGAAGTTTGTATATAGTATTTGACTTTTATAATTTGGATCTGCTGTATCTAGTTCGAAATTTACATTGAAAGGTGCTATTCACATTTTTAAATAATCTTTTCATTCAATCGAATATTATGCGTACTGACTTATCTAAACATTAGAAAATCGATGAAATACTCGATATTTACAATGTGATAGTATGGTTGGGTCAGTTCGATAATGATACATGGAATTTATACAAATGCTTAGATTTTAAAACTTGTCATGTTATGGTGCTTAAATGAATATCAGTATGGAAGAAGATATTGATATCTATGTTCTGTATAAATCCAACGAGTGGCTCGAAAAATTTAACATTTAAAAAACTTTAATATTAAAATATCTCCTTCATCTTCAACTAATGTTTTGTATACATTAAAGATATATATATATATATAAACTCGAATATTGTCTATCTCCATAATGATAATAAGAAACGGCTTTAATACTAAGACATATTGGATATAAAAAATATTCCGCTTAGCTAGAAGTGTTATTTTGAGAAAATGAAAAAGAAAAAAACAACGAGACGATATAAAAACAGAACCCAAAAATAAAATAGAAAATAACTGTAACATTAATTCATGTGACATGAGCAATGAGTTCCACCTACTTGATTGTAAGAGACTTTGTAGCCTGTACACTGACTTCTCTCCGCTAAATGTAGATACGTGTTGGTCCAGTAACATACTGCCTACAACTGATTACCACCATAACACACAGGAAGTCCTATGTTGGTGGCGGGCGAGATTCCGGGAACTCGAATAAGATTTATGTCCAGGTAAGTCATTATTGTATTATATCTACGTCTATATATAGCTACAGAGATATACATCTGCGCTGATACAGAGTGACACAAAAAACGTATCATCTAGGTACTGTACCACACTTTAGACAACCTACTGGTGAGCAAGGGTATCTACCAATACTTTCTAACTGATGCAGGAGACTCAATCAGAGTGTGGAAATATTGTCTATCGGGGCGATCAATATATAGAAATCCCGCCCTTGCTTACGCTGCCTCAGTTTTAACGTATCACTAGAAAATAGCTATCCTTCAATAATATTTTTATATTGGACTGGTAAATATGTCTATAGGGCGCGCTACATTCGTGAGTTATTTTTATACAAACAAACATATATATTCTTCTTACAGTCCATTGTCGTAAAAAATCTGACGTCTGTTTACACTAAAAATTATAGGTGTTTACCAACAACCAGCGTCTTTTTGTTCTGTGTAAGTAGATAACATATATCAGATATAATACAGAAACACGTCATAAGTAACGACAATTTAACGGGTGATTTAATGCTACCCTAAACGTATGTGTAATCGGTAGGTAATCCACACATCTCCTACAGATATATCAGGGTGCGCTGGACACGGATATCATGTATATCAGGGGTCACTGGCCAGATTTTTTTCCACGAATTTTAATACGGAAGTTTTATTCATTGGTCACGTTTTACTTGGGTGGAACGTGCCAAGGTTAAACGACGCCTCAATTATAGTATCAAAATACCTTTGTTATAGACAGAACGAGAAGGCATGCAAAACCTAGACTTAAAAAAAGACAATCCTTATTAAATTCATAACATATCAAGATCACAAGTCGACCGGGATTATTTTCCTTTTTTTATTAAAGAATTGTCTGATCAGTGTATAATTTCATTTGCGCCCAGTAAAGCAAACATATGGGAAAAACACTCCTGGAATCTAAATACAAAACTACACACGAAGGAAACCAAGTGCCGACTAGAGTCAAATTATCAAAGATCATCATTCAGGTTTACATTACATTAAATTGTCCTGTTATCCACATTCAGAGAGAAACATTCAAAGCAAATATGCATACTAATATATATTATAATAAGATCATAAATGAGTTTTCATTTCGGATGAAATTTTATGAGACGAGTCTTTTATTTATTTAAGGATCGCAAAAATTAAAACTTAGAGACGAGTTTATATATATTATAATAAGATCATAAATGAGTTTTCATTTCGGATGAAAATTAAAACTTAGAGACGAGTTTAATAAAATTTCATATGAAATAGAATAAATTTGAAATATCATTTATCACAAAACGAACAAAGTGTGTTTTTAGAGTTGTATTGTGACCATAAGTAATTTTCATGATATTTCATAGGAAAATTGAGTGGATAGCTGAACTATGTGATGAATACCGTTATAGACTTCTTTCGAAGTCGATACCTCAGTTTTATTAACGCGGAAAAAGTATCAACCGAGGACAAAGATAGATATCCTTCATGTCATTTAGAATTAGGTGTAGAGGTGAAATGGGACATAAGATTTTATGTACTGAACAGAAATGTGCTATCAGATAATGGCTTTGTTATTCATGCACATGGCTTAATTGACATTTAACAGCTATATGTCATACATTCTTCCGGATTAAACAGGAATGCTATCATATATGGATATTAACATGTTAAGAACAAAACGAAACACAGACATCGGTGTATGACAGGCTTTTGTTTATTAAAGAGAACGTAAAAGGTCCTATTATACTTAAAGCCGAACCTCAAACAACGTATTCTGTTAGTATACAAATACTAGTCAAATACGTTGCAAAATGGTATCATAGACAAATGGATATAAGTAAAATATAAGTGGATATATGAAATTAAATATCTCGGTATTAATGTGAGTTTATATTCAATTGTGTTTTCTTGCTTGCCTCGCGATATTCAAATACATCCAACAGAAAACCGACCAGCGGATTCAGAAATCTGTAACCCGAATACTTCTCCCCGTGGCAGTATTACGTGCACATATAGGATTGAAGGAAATGATCGTACGGTCTTATAAGTATCTTACTGTTGCCGTTTTAGTGCATCATTTACTTATGACGTCACTGTAATATGGAGAAACGGATTTCCAACTGCGTATATCTGTTTATGATCATAACCAATAGTTTATGTCGCGATAAAGAAGCTTTAACTGTGATGATTGAGGCAACAACTTAACTGTCTCTATCACTGAAGTAGATTGAACGTGTTATCGTTGTTACGGAATGACCAGTACTACAGGGATAACACCGAACTATTCCGTATCTACAAAAAAAGGAAGTCATTCACATTCCTTTATGAAACATTTACAAATATTTTATTGTGACTAAAATTCATGGACTAATGCGTCCAATTATAAAGCATTATATTTGGTTGAAACAAGTATTTAATGATCTCCAGTTCTTTGTCTGAATATCACATTGTGTTATTTAGTATGGTAACCAAGTAAAGAAGAAAAATGATTCCCTGGCTTGCAGTTTTATTTTAACTGAAAGCAAAAAGCGGTGGCGTTCAAACGTTTATTACCACGAAGCGCTTCTGATATAACAAACATCAATTATACATAGACAACGTTTGTTTTATTTAGGACACAACTGATTCACATAGACATCGATAGAGTTGGCATTACAATCACATTCGTGAAAACGGTCAATTGCAAAAACAAATAATAAAAATAGAAAAAGAAAATCTGTATAACTATCCATGGCTGATAGACAATATTATAGCATTAGTTAATGAAAAAGGCAATTACACAACGGACACATAGAACAGCGGATTCCGAGAGAATCAACAAGAGACTTTCGACAAGTCAACAAAATATTAATTCTAACCAAAAAAAAGATAATTACCGTATTTAAACATATAAAAGATTAACACGAATACACATCAAAAAGTTTAAGAAGAATGACCAGATGATTTGGAAAGAAAGCATTTTCTCCTTCCTCAACGACACTCGTCATTGAATTTTAGTAAACTCAAGTTACATAACGTTTCCAAATGAGAATAGGATTCATCATATTAGAATGTTTACTTTTTTAATTTCGTAGGTGGATATATAATGTCTCCCAATGAGACCACTGGTTACGACCGCAAATCTTTCATATAGTCTTTATCATCTTACATTCATCGAAACAGGTGACGTAAACGTTCAGGTGTCAAGATTTATCAGTAAAATAATTTTTATACGATATCCAGCACGTTTTGTAGATATGAACTATAGATATATTATGACTTACCGAGGCTGGCCGGTAGTACCAGTGTCTGCGCAACAGGTTGGTACACTGTTTGCTGCCAGCCGTTGTACATCATATCCTAGAACAGATATAATTCCATTTGCAGGCTAATATTTTCATCATTAAATGATAGATAATTTTTAATAATGACTGTGAAGAAAGAAAAGGCCGAATGACGATGACGAAAGGTAAGAATGAAGATAGTGATGATGATGATGATGATGATGATGATGATGATACGTGTATCTGAAGACATATCTTATATGATAAGTATGATTCATATTATAAAACATAAATATGATTAGATATTGTTTCAATTAGAAAAGAATTGTTTTCGTCGTTATATCTTTTCGAACATGACCATGGAAAGTAAAATTCAAGTAATGTTCCTTCACTTTTATAAATTAGAAAAATAGAAAATTGTATACAAAAAAATATCGAAATTAGTGTTTTTGCATAATGTCTTCGACCAATAGATAAATAAATGATCTCCTTTAACCTTATGAAATTTAATATATACTCCAAATGTGAAGAATAAAAACAGTGTAGTATGAAACATTAAGGAAGAGATAAACATTCATATCCTACTTAGTATACACGAAAGAATGTTGACATTCTCTAAATTTGATCATTCTTATTTGAGTTCTCGGGTGTCAAATGTAAGACATCTAAATGTGATACATGTCCTATGGTTGTTTAATTTTGTACTATCGTTTAATAATAACGGATTAAAATTCACAACTAAATCCAATTTTAATTACAAATCAAAGTGTGTGATTTATACTTTAATTGTTCCTAAGCATGTAATGACGTTCATATCAGTCAAACAAGAAATGAAATAAGCATGGTAATACATATATTCTTAACAATATCACTTGACTAAAAGATACGATGACATCGATATCAAACTACAATATTTCAAAGATGGAGGCTGGATATCACCATTGTAAAGATAGATTAAGTATAGAAGACTAGTATACCAAATTATTTAGAAAATGATTTGATTAAAGAAGGTCATAGTACACCATTGTTAGAATGGCTAAACTATGAGTAATGGTGAAACAAATTGTTTAGAAAATGATTTGATTAAAGAAGGTCATAGTACACCATTGTTAGAATGGCTAAACTATGAGTAATGGTGAAACAAATTGTTTAGAAAATGATTTGATTAAAGAAGGTCATAGTACACCATTGTTAGAATGGCTAAACTATGAGTAATGGTGAAACAAATTGTTTAGAAAATGATTTGATTAAAGAAGGTCATAGTACACCATTGTTAGAATGGCTAAACTATGAGTAATGGTGAAACAAATTGTTTAGAAAATGATTTGATTAAAGAAGGTCATAGTACACCATTGTTAGAATGGCTAAACTATGAGTAATGGTGAAACAAATTGTTTAGAAAATGATTTGATTAAAGAAGGTCATAGTACACCATTGTTAGAATGGCTAAACTATGAGTAATGGTGAAACAAATTGTTTAGAAAATGATTTGATTAAAGAAGGTCATAGTACACCATTGTTAGAATGGCTAAACTATGAGTAATGGTGAAACAAATTGTTTAGAAGATGATTTGATTAAAGAAGGTCATAGTACACCATTGTTAGAATGGCTAAACTATGAGTAATGGTGAAACAAATTGTTTAGAAGATGATTAATTATAGGTCAGAAGGTCAGAGTACACCATTGATAAAATGAGTAAAAAAGTGGGGGACCGGTGTTAGCAAATTGCTTTGGTGACTAAGGTAAAGACAGCGAAAGTATAGGAGATCAGAGGGAAATATTGTAAAGACGGATACATGATTGTACAAAAGAGAGTGGATGACTTCCTTCAACACAGATTTTAAATTTCGTTAATAATTAATCACACTGCAGCATACAATGTGGCATGTCAGTGATAGTAGGAGAATAAATGCTGAAACCTAGGAGACAATAGAGAAAATCTTAACTGTCAAAAAACAGAAGAGTAGGTTTCACTTACATCGTTTCAGTGTAATAATGCTAGTTTTAGAATACAATTACAAGTATGAATTAAATAAAATTTACAATATCAAATATATTAGCTTTATTTCTACGCGCAATTTTGTTAAATACTAATACTAGCATATCTCAGTGATCGAAATTATCACATTAGAATGGGTAAAATTACAGTTAACTAGAATAACTACATAAACTTGCATACTTAAGCACAAATACAATGAGCAATATTAAATACCATTTGTTGCGCTAACGCCGTCAATGTCAGTGATTTGATATTATGCCTCGAGTATTTGCACAAATTCGCATAGCCACCTGTCGATCTAATACCAATCATTTGAACAACTATCTAAAACAGGATCATTTCACAAAGCCCTTATTCATGCCCTTTGTATGTGCTCTGGAAGTTTCTTTATAAAATACCATTTCTGACAGTTGCGATTTCCGTGACAACGCCAGATCATCTTGACCCTAAAACATTCTGCGAATCTCACCCGGAAGGGGCAAAATGCGGTCAGAAGGCGACTCTCTGTAGGTATCACGCACGTTGCATGTCAAAATATGAATGTCTCTACAATCGTTATTCAACCTTCCTTCTTTGACCACACCTTCTGATAATATGTCCCATTAAATGTTGACTGACTAGGTAGTGAAGATATCGATCTGTTGACATGCACTAGGTATATTCTATAGATATTTGAATATTGTTGTAATTACTCGTAAATAATGCTATATTCTTAGTAAGATATTTCTTTCAACTAAAACATTATGAGTGATATGTAACATGGATACATCTATATAAGATTATAACTCGCAAATGAAATATTGCCATTGTTTATTGTTGGCATGTTCTATCTATATACCGTTTTTATTGATTAAACACAAACATATAATAACTTGAAATACTCGCTATATACTTATAATCAATGATAGTCATTGATAATTTCTTCTACCCTCCGAGAAACATGTTCATATTTCTAATAGTTAAAATAAACTTGAGAGACACTGAGACTCCTTTTTATAGATATCAGAGGAATATAATGAGAATCTGAATGTCGGGTATCACTGTGTGTTAAGTGTGTTTGGTGTTGTCATAGTCAATCAAAGCCCCGATAGCAAAGTGTTTGGTCAGGGTTCGATGGTAAAGTGTTAATTATTGTTAATGCTCGGTCAGGGTTCGATGGTGAAGTGTGTTTATTTCTAATGGTTGGTCTTTGTTCGATAGCGAAGTGTTCATTTCTAATGGTTGGTCAGGGTTCGATGGTGAAGTGTTTATTTCTAATGGTTGATCAGGGTTCGATGGTGAATTGTTTATTTCTAATGGTTGGTCAGAGTTCGATGGCGAAGTGTCTGTTATTGTTTATACTAAGTCAGGGTTCAATGGTGAAGTATTTGTACTGTAAATGGTTGGTGAGGTGTTTGTCATAAAGTCTTATTTTTCTACAATTGTAAATAAATTTCAGAATTGTTTTCTTCACATAAGTTTGTAGTAGAAACATCTCTCTTTGCAGTTTTAGTGATACTTTAAAATAGAGCTTTATCTTATCTCTAAATGATTACTGATATCAGTATTATGAATTATCAACGTTATCTGTCACAGAGTTAAGAGAGGATCCTCTTAATGATGAAATGCACTATTTGCACCTAATGAACTGTTTGTTTGCATTCGACGCCAATATAGGACTATGTCGTAGCTTTACTTTTTCTTTTATGTAGGAATATTCCGGACTGTCTTTAGATATAACTGAGTGTTTTTATTTGAATCCTCATTCATGAAAATCTACAAATTTAAACAAATCAGCTGGTGGTTAAGTATTATTATGTTTTTCATCATTCGTTTTGGTTAAAGCATATATAAACCTTCCCATTTGGCACTTGTTAACCTCTAAAAGAAGCGTCGTCCATTGTTTTCAAAACAAGTATTTTTCGCATATCTTATACATATATTTAAAACGTACAAATAACCAGTATCACACTTGAATATTGATTAAATTCTCGGATCATCTCTATAACCAAGGATAACGAAGTGTTACAGACATACACCTATATTCACTTCCCCACATACGTCACGAGGGGATAATCCCGGGATGATAAACCAAGCAACTGTTTGCTCACAGAGACAAGGATTATCTCTTTCTTATCACAGTTCCTGTGTATAGTACTATATTTAAAAAACTGGAATCAACAGTATGGCAATACATTTCTATAAAACGCCAGCTCACTACCATCCGGACAAGGAAGATTCTGTATATGATTACCGATGCAGGTTATTACAGTACACCATGTAGACCAGTTGTGATTTAAAAGAGAATTCGATTAATTCCCTTTGCGCATTATGGTCGGTAAACACTTGTCTGGTGCCTTGACAATTTAGCTCACGGGTCTTCACATGATGTTGTGTGATACTGTTACGCTTTAAGATACTTGTGTGGTGCCCTGACTTTTGACTGTAAGATACTTGTGTGTTGCCCTGATTTTTACGCTGTAAGATACTTGTGTGGTGCCCTGACTTTAGACTGTAAGATACTTGTGTGGTGCCCTGACTTTAGACTGTAAGATACTTGTGTGGTGCCCTGATTTTTACGCTGTAAGATACTTGTGTGGAACCCTGATTTTTATGCCGTAAGATAATTGTGTGGTGTCCTGACTTTAAACTGTAAGATATTTCTGTGGTTCCCTGAGTGAGTGTTTAGGTGTAGGATACCTGTGTGGTGCCCTGACTGTTAAACTGTGGGACACTTGTGTGGTGTCTTGACTGCTTAACTGTAAGCTATTTGTGTGGTACCCTGACTTTTAATTTCCAGAATTTTTGTGCTATGCCCTGATTGTTGGATACCCTGACTGTTTGCCTGTAAGATACTCGTGTGGTGCTCTGAGTTTAGACTGTAAGATATGTGTTTGGTGCCCTGCCTGTTTTTCTGTAGGATACTTGTGTGGTGCCCCGACTGTTAAACTTGTCGGATGTTTGTGTGGTGCCCTGATAGTTCATATGTAGCTTTATATGGTGCCTTGTCATTTTAGTTTAAATGTTCTCGTGTTGTTCCCTGATAGTGAAGCTGTTTGATACTTGAATAATGCCCTAACAATTTAGCTCAAAGGTT